ATCCTATCAGTTTTTTATTAGTTATTTAATATTGGTCTAACTATTCTCAATATTTATTTTCGTCTTTTTGTTCATTTTTATTGAAATAAAAAAAGCATTTCTGCTTAGACATTTTCAGTATATGCATACAATAAAATCAAATTATCAACTAGACTAGACGCTACTTTAGGCCAGTAAATTTAGCCATTTTATTAAATTAATAACTAAATTAATTATTTTAAGACTAGTATAGTTGAAACTACACCATTTAAAATTTCATTCACTCACTAAATTTTTTCACGATAATCAAAAAAAAAAAAAAAANTTAATGTAAAAAAAAAAAAAAAAAATTCATTTATTTAATATTTTGAAAGTAAATAATGGTGTCTTTAGTTGATTAATATTTTTTACAATTGCTAATAAAATTTCTAAGTCTAAGAGTTCCACTAAAAGGCGGTCGGTGATTTATGGTTCCGTAGCCGAAAACAAATTGGGAATCATTGCTGTAGACTACAAAAAAAGCTGCTACCAACCTTCTAAGTGCAAATTGGAAGAAGTAAGAATAACATTGGAATTCGCCGCCATTAAAAATCATTGTTCCTGCAGCCATCGGTAGCATTAAACATTTGCTCTAAATTGTTGCTTTGCGGCTCACACTTGATAAATTCTAAAGTGTGAATTGGGGGGGGGGATAATAAAATAAAACACAGAATTATGCATTTAATTTGGAACGAGGTAATGAAAACGCGCAACTTACCGATCCACGGTTCAGAGAGAATAATGGAAAAAAAATAAAAGAATTTTAATTGTGTTGATTGAAGTACAATCACATTATAAAATGCTTATTTATCCAATGTAAAAATGAAAAATAATTCGATGTTTTTATTTTAAAACCAAAGAAAAAGATCTAATGAAAAAATTTTAATAGAAAAAAACTACTAAATTCATAATTTTTCAAGCACGAAAGAGAAATGCTTAGAAGACTTCCTACTGGAGACTCTAGATTAAAAACGGAAACTAAGTTACTGAGATAAATACTTTTAAAAAAGAAAAAAGAGAAGTTTTTTTATGGGTCTCTTATTAAAAACAAAATAAAAGCGTACTAGCCACAAGGACGCAACGGAAGTCATGCGGCTGCGCTTACAAACAACTGAAAATTCAATAAATTAAAAATTATATTTACCTTTGAAGTATTAAATTTTATTTTAAATAATTATGAATAATGCTAATTACGGTTCATATTGAATTTACTCCGATTCATAATTGATGTGAAAAAGTTGCAATTTTTAATATAGTGCTATAAGTCACGTTGATTTTTCCTCCCTAAATTCTAAAGATTTAGCGAAAGAAAAGAGTGAAAAAAAAATCTTTTAATTGAGCTCTAGAATTACGTTTTTTTCCTCTAGTGCTCATATATTTGATGTAAAGAATTTAAATAAAGATTAACATTGTATAATTTCTTTGTTTTAAAATTTTTTGTTTGAAAGTCTTTTTTATTATTTAATTTAATCATTTTTGGTCCACTGTAACACGTTAGATATGATTCCCAGTAGACCACCGAAGTCAAGCATCACTGTGTCACTAGTAGGTGATCAGTTTGATCAGCTTGTGAGGGATCTAGGGGGAACGATATCGGTCCTTGTTTAGCTGTTCTACCGAAAGTCCTTCATTTTATTCGCAGGTCGTTAGGCTACCAAAGCGTGAAAGTAAACCTCCCTGCAGAGTGTTAAAGTTGGGATGGCATGCCTTCGAGTTTGCAGACCATCGTCAATAGCATATTGTGCAGCTCTGGTGTAGTTTAAATAAATTACTAATGTACTTTGTTATTCCTGTTATTAAATTGTTGGTTTAATTAATTAAATAGATGAATAGTAGGATTATGCAAAAATATTCAGAAATGTCAATAAGGAGGAGAAACTTTCAATAGGCGCCTTTCAATAGCTGATGTAACATGAGGCTAGAATACAGGTTAGTAAAGATAACGTCAAGAATTTTTGATTAACATAAGAAATTAAAAGACACACATTTAATCATAAAATCAATAGTATAACTGCAAACTGTAAATCGCAAGACACTAGGCTTTACTTGACTAGCTATATCCTTGAATTGCCGCGAGATGGCAATGGATGATGTTTTCAATAGAAATGTAAACAATAACAATCTCGAGCTCGGGACCTGCTCTAGTTCCGGTTAAAAAGTTTGCAGCTGCTTACTACATGTTATTCTGATAGGCGATGTTTTCAAACGGATAATTTTGTTTTCAATAAAAGAAATAAATTAGATAATTTCTGAGCTCAAATCTGCCGTCTTTCATAAGATATTAATGTTATTATGTAATTCTGGGGAGTTTGGAGTGAAAATGTGTTTTAGTTATTTTGTTATTTATTATTAAAAAAGGTGACATGGTAGCTAGATTTTAAATAACTCGCTTTTTTGGCAGTCTTAATTTGGCCTCTTTCCATTTGTTTATTTCTGTTTGTTCGTGTTGCAAGCTGTGCACCGTGTTAACACTTTTAGTATTGTAAACACAAGTATTGTTAGCATTGTAAACATAAGCATTGTAAACATAAACATTGTTTGCAAGAATCTCAAAACACAATGATGCCAAATGGCTCTAAAATACAACTGAAACAGTAACCCGGAAATTTAGGCAGTCCCGAGCTTGCAGCGTTTCCTAGTGTAGAAATTACTCGGCTACCGTTGTAGTTTCGTTTTCAGCTTTGTGTTGGTTACCATTGGCAGCATCAGTATTGGATGTAAACAAAAAGAAATGAAACTTTACTTTCATCATGGCTGAAATTATTTTAAAGCGAAGTAAATGTTTAGTGTGTCTGATTGAATGGATTTAAGATTATTTATACACTAGTTTAGTTTTTTCTTCAATTATTTAACCAGGCAGATGTAATTGTTAACCAGAAAATTCAATGTTTTTGCTGAAAAAACGAATTATTTACTCTACGACATTCAACAGTTGACATGGTATTTCTCAATCACTTTATGTTTATTAACATTTTGTTTTAATTTTAAATTCACTCGCGCTTGCTCGTTGTTGATATAAGATTACATTTTGTGATTCTAAGTTCGAGTTATTGGATTTATTATTAGGGATGAGATTACAACCTTGGCACTCAACAAGTTTTGAATAATTAATTAATTGTGTAATCGGAAAGGCTCGTTTCATAGTTTAAATATTTTATCATTTGTCGATCATCTGGCATTTTTTTATTGTTATTAAAATGCGTATTGTTTATTTATGAGCATTTTTTTTCTGTATAATTCTTCAAATATTATTTTTTAGAATTTTATCTGTGATTTTGCGTTCAAGATAATTAACTGGAATTTACTAATATTCTCTTGGTGTTTCGAATTTAATTTCCAATTATTTATTGTTGGAAAACAGACAATTGCAGTTCTATTCAGTATTTATTTTAACTTTTTCAAATACGGAGTCTAAAATTTATATTTCATGACTTCACATTTATGTATACAAATTAATATCATGCATGGGAAGTTCGAGCTTTGGAATCAAGGGTATGTCAAAAAATCGGAACATCAGGGTACTTTTTTAAGACAATTAGTACTTTTCCTTTAGCAAATACCACTAATTTTTTTTAATTTAATTTAATTTTTGTGTGTTCAAAAATATATATTAAATGAATATACTATATGAAGATTTCCATATCATGATTTGTGGCTGAATAATTGCCAAGTTTTGGCAACTTCTGGACAGTCGCCCGCTAGAAACTAAAAAAAAAATAATAGAGAGGGACCAACTCGAAAGGTTTAACTCGTATTCACCCCCAGGCAAACATCTACATATTCTTTTTTTAAGAAATTGCAAGTTTAAAAATCTATTTGGCCCCTTGGTGATTGTTGTTGACGTGACAGATCACGATATGGAAATATACCCTAATGAAATAGTTGGCAAGTCTAGTGTGCTAATATAATACTCACGTCAGAACCAAAGGAATGTTTCAAACTGTCAATTCAGGGCTCTGTTGTATTTTGAAAAGTTTTGTTGGTTCATATTTCAGGATTGGGGGACTAAAACCAAATGACTTAAAAATAGAACTCTCAATTTTTTGTTTTTAAATCATATTAGTTTATAGATACTCTTTGTTTAGTTCATTTATAGATACTTTTAGATTTAGTTTGGATATTACTAAAGGAAAAAATAGTCAAATTTAATGTAGAAATCTTTTTAATTTTGAGTTAAATTGTTAATATATCTCTTTAAATAATGCATTATAATTGCTATAATCAAAAGCATGAATGAAGTGCTATTTTATATTTTACTTTTCTGTTTATTTTTAGAATTCTTTTATATTATCAGTGTAAACAAATTTTTAACATATGTATGTAGTGTGTTTTTATTCTAATGTTTTTAGAACAATGTTGATATTAAATTACTATTTTCACTAAAATAATATTTAAAATNTTTATTTGTAAAAAAACATTTACTTAAGGATTCTAAAATGAAAAGCGGTCAAAAACTTTCAATCTGTTAAAAATTATTACCCTTATATTAATTATTCATATGTTAAAAATAATTAGATTTAAATCAATCATAAGGAATAAGCAATTATGTAAAATAAAGACGATAATCATAAGGAAAGAGGAATCATAAATAAGGGATTATGATTTAAATCAATCATAATTCCTTATGATTGATTTAAATTTGTTTCAAGTATTTTGTACTAATATTTAATCCGCAATTAAGATAATTTGGGTTTTGCCGGTTTTTACCAGGTTTTTGCCATTGTCCTGGCAAAAAAAACCTTTTTGCCGGCAAAAACTCCATCCCTCATTGATATTAAATTACTATTTTCACTTAAATAATATTTAAAATTCAACAATAAGAACAAAAACACATTACATACGAGGTATATAAACTAAGTAATGAGACTGATTTTTTCAAATATTTTTCATTCAAACAGAATTACAATTCAATATTGTCTCCTTCAAAATAATTCTTCTCTGAAGCCATACTGTGTCAGTGACAATTGTTCCACTTGTAATAGCAGTGTTGGAACTTGGATACTGGAATAGCCTTTATCTGTCCTTTTTTTTGCCTTTGAAAGGTTCTTCAATATTCAAAAATGACATCCCTTGATATGAATTATCGATCTCGGGAAGAAGAAAAAGGACAGGAAGACTTTATTCAGGTGAGTTATAAGGTTAAGGAGCCACATGAATATATTTATTGGCCTAAAACACATTTATTGACATGTTTGCTATTTGATCTTTGTTCTTGATATTTGATCTCTGTTCTTGATATTTGATCTCTGTTCTTTATATTTGATCTTAATGATTGATCTTTGTTCTTGATGTTTGGTTATTGATCTTTATGTTTGATCTTTGTTCTTAATGTTTGGTCTCTTTTTGTTTTGTTTTTTAGTTCAGATTTAATTAATTTTTTGCAATCTGATGAAAGGTAAAATTAAACTGTTCTCTTGATTAGATTGGTCATCAATAATAATATGGAAACTCAAAATCAGTCAGTATTTTTATCAGTTTTTGAAGTTGAAGTCTTTTTGCTGCTTGCTCTTCTTTTTGAAAGCTGGGTTTCTGATTTTTAAAAAAAAACTGTCTCTGTACGCTTACTGGAGTTTTTATATATTTCTATTGCAATGTGCCCAAACAGCAGACCACAGTTCCATATTGATGTCCCTCATTTTTAGAACGGACTGCAAAAATTAATTTTGCAAGAAAGATGACTTCGGACAATCACGCCAATCTATCAAGTTCTCACTTGTACTGACTGTGTAAGAGATGTTCACCTACCACCTATCCAATTTTGTTAAACTCTATAAATTCTAGAAAAACAAAATCAACGAAAATTAGAATTTTCAAAAATCTGTCCTATAAGAATCTGAGACTGCAATAAAAATAACATGAAAAATCTTCAATTATTTATTAACAACTGTTTAAGAGGAATCTTGTGTATCAAGTGGTTCCATATAATTTGTAATGCAGAAATCCTTAGAAAAGCAAAATAGAAACCAATTGATTTGGAAATTTAAAAAATTTGAATGGTTTGTCATGTTCTACGTAAACCTGAAAAATTTAAAGTAAGGCAAGTTTTTAATCAGAACCCTCAGAGCAATAGAAAAAGAGGAAGACCTAAAAGTACTTAGCACAGGACAATTCTAAACAAATTGAAAACAATGGGAATAACATGGAGAGAGACAAAATATTTGTCTACAAATAGAGATAGATGGAACGCTATAATAGAAGCCCTATGCTCTGATTCAGAGTAAAAAGGAATATATATATATAATTTTTTAGTGGAACTAGAGTTTCTACATCAATTGTTACATCACCAGTCTCATTACTTAATTTAACCATTCCGTGCATATATTGAACAAATATAAACTGCTTGCAATGTGTTTTAATTTATGATTCTTCTTCTTTCAAAATACAATATTTAAATAAAATAATATTTTAATGAAAGAAAAAAATTTTCAAAAATTTGTTTAAAATATGTTATTTTTTTAAAGCTACATTATTTATGAGCATATTGTTTTGCTTAAAGCTTCATTGTGTTAAAATTAATTATTTTATTCTTCATTTATTATTAAATTATTAGTACTGAAACATAAGTTTATTTCACTATTTTAGATATCTGCAGCCTATTTAACATTTTTATCCCTTTTCATCATTCCATTATTTTCAAATACTTTTTTATGAGAAAAAATATATAACTGATTAATAATATATAATCAGTTGCTTGAAATTACAGTTCTAAAGTAGTATCCAGAATAAAAAACTTTCTTGCTACTATTTTCACGAAACATATAAACAATTTGTTAACAATATAAACAATTGTCTTATAAAGAATGTTTTGGTAACCAAACCATAAAAGAATGTTGAAAATGAAAAATAAGTCTGAAACCCATTTCCTCATTTTTTAATATTTATCAACTGAAAACTCCTTACTTTAAGCATGCAAGGTAGTTTGATTTGAACCACAATCATTTTATTAGACAAAATTTATTTGCCAGCCTTAAATATTCAGCCGCCATTAGTGAGCTGGCAAGTTGGAATTTCGTTACCTACCTTAAATGTTTTATATATCATTATTTTAAAATTTGTATTGATTTTAGAGGGGGGGGGATGAAGAAATTTTAATTTTAAATGTAAATTGATGTCAATGCAATGTTATAAATTGCATACTAAATAATGACAATTAATTACGAAATATGACATTTTCATACATACTAACATACAAAATAAAATTTACTGATTAAAGACTCGTACAATGCACTGATACTAAATTTTTCTTTGCATGTTAAGTGGAGCTGTAAAGTTATGTATAAGCATATTCAAAATCTTTTATTATTCTTTTTTCTCATGTTAGCATATTTATTAGAACAAAAGTGGAATTTTTTTTCTTCCATTTACTGAAAATATTGATCAATATTCGAAAAAGTCTTTATCATGTACTTTTTAAAGGATTAACTTTTTTTTTATTTTGGGTGTAAAATATTATTTAACGTTTTGTTCAAAATAGGTCTTTAAAAAAAAAAATTATTTTCAATTTTGTATCATTTGTACCTAGCAATCAGCGCAAATGAAGCTTTTAGTTTAAGATTTTTATAATAGAGTTGTTTACCAACTGTATTTAAATTATTTCTTTTTCATGTCTTTAGTGAAGTATAATGAAATGCTGTTATGGTTAAATTTTAGCCATTATTTTTTAGCTCTTATATTTTGCGTTGTATTTAGCTATGTTAAATTTAATTTTGTTCAATGTGATTAGTATTTACATTTCATAACAAAAGAAAATTTTATACTATGGCTAATTTAATATTAAGCCCGATGCCAAGTTCAAATAAGAAAACAGTCATATGAAATTGCAAAAAATTCTTGAATCACTTTTCTTTAACTTCTTTAGAGTTCAAAAATCATGTCTTACTATTAATATTATCTATTGTTATAAATCATGAATAATCTTACCTTGTACTATTGAACCTTTGTTTATAAATCAAATAGTGATAATTCTACTTTTATAATTTGAGCATAAAAAAGCAAATTTTATAATTAAAAAAAATTACCTTTGTTATATTATTTTTTTCTTGTCCTATGTTTTTGGTAGAGGGAAATTTTGGTAGATATGTAGATGAATAAATGCAGCAGGGCTGTCTACCCACCCACCTGCAAAAGAAAACCTATATTTAAGTGGAGTAATTTAAAAAATGACAAAAAAAAAGAGTTGGTTTGCCAACCTTTTTTTTCCTTGTTATTATTATAATTTCACACAACATTATTTATACACACATATATTCACACACATAGATTTAGTAATAAAATTATATACTATGTTATATACTAAAAAAAATTAAACCCAACTTGAGTCAGGCTTTTTTAAAGAAACCCAGGTTTTTTCCACCCCTGAAATGTAGCTGCTCAACTATTTTTCAATACTTATTTTAAAAAATTATTATTTTTGTCAATTTTTAAATCTTATAAATTAATAGTGGATACTGAACTTCTAGTAATTAAATTTTGGGAGATATTAAAATTAAGGCTTTCATTGCAAATTCTAAAATAAGTAGAGCATTGTAACTTTTCCTCATGATATCTTCATACTTTTAGGAATCTGAGAATCATCAGTCTGATTCATTATCTGTAAATGTAAGACCACCTCTGTACTCTGAAATCCCAGGTACTGTACCTCTTAACACTGGAGCTGAAGGTGGCCCTCCTCCTTCCTATGAAGATGTTGTTGATCCTGAAGGTTGGTTTAATAGAAACTAATAAAAAAAATTTTGTTTCTTTTACTAATATCAGAGCTCAATATTAACGGTGGCCCGGCACCAGTAAAATTTGCTCAGAAGGTACACATTCTTACTGTGCTGTTTGCATATCTCTTATTAAATATTTTTTTTAAAAAAAGTTAAATTTTATTGAAAATATGTACAATAGAGAAATATTCTCGATTCCGATGAAATGAGACATGGTGGCCCAAGGGGTAGAGCACTCTCCTCCCAATGAGTTGACCTGGGTTTGAATCCCAGTGATGGCTGGTCAATACAAATTCCGCACCCGGCTCACCCATAAAATATACTCGGTGGTAGATGGATCGTGGGTTAAAGTCCCCTTGTTCTCAGGCTAACCATTGGAGGTTTTCCTCTCTAATGCTAATGCGGGTTAGTTCCATCAAAAAGTCCTCCACAAAGCCAAATTCTCCTAATACTTGATCCAGCAGTTCCCTTGTCTTCTGGATTGGGTTCAAAATTACAAGGCTACAGAGTTGAACATTAGTAGTCGTAAAACCAAAAATNTAAATGTCTATAAACTTCAACAATCTTTTTAGTGACCCAAACTGTTTTGCAGTTTGGACCAAACAAGTCCACATGTAGAAAACCTGCATGCAATAGCTGCTGCAATTAGGCTGAACAGTCAGCTAACTCAACCATAAAATGTGCAAATTCTTTTGTACTCCTCCACCACACTTTCCTTAAATAATAAGTGGTGTGGGTGTGCTTAGTCTTTTTTCTGAAGCAACTAGAAATAGCCACTCAGCATTTTTCTTAGAAACCCAAACCTCTGCCTCCTTCCTCATGTGTTTAGAAATTTTTTTTACATTGTACAGTAGGAAACCGATTATCCGGAATGATCGGGACCATCGCTATTCCGGATAACTGATATTTCCGGTTTTCTGAATCGCTACAAAAAGCCTTTTTGTTATTGTTAAACCCAACAAAAAAATTTTTTTTTTGGAAATAATCTTAAAAAGAAGAAAAAAACGATGAAGGAATACACTAATGATTATTTCCAAAATGATGGTAAGGTAAACATCTTTCAAAAAAGAAAGAAAAATCCTAAAATCTTATGAGGAAAAAAACATTTTTTAAAAAAATGGCAGGAAAATTTATCGAATTTTGTTCCGGTTTTTTGGTTTTCCGGTTTTCTGATTTCCGGATAACGGGTTCTGTACTGTATTTCGTATTCAGCGTATTAGCTAAAAATTGGAAAGGGGTACGGGCTTTTCTCCGCTTTTCAATAATTCTTTCATAAGGACTTTGATTCTCAATTCTCTGGTTGGTTTAAGCTCTGGTTCTGTGTTACTTTTAGAATAAAAAGTTTTGTGTGACTGATAAGTAATAATTAAAGGCCATCTAATTTTTTGTATGCTGATAATGGTCAAAACTAAATTGTAAAAAGTGAAAAAAGAAGAGCTACTGGGTTGGAAAGATTATTGGGACTTATTCTGATAGGACTGTCTTTTAGTTGTCACATAACTATATTTTGAAATATCTATGAGACAGAGTTTAAATATAATTAATTAATTGAAATTGAGAAACATTTTTGGCTATATCTCATCCAATAAAAAATTAAATAAAGCGGTATAATAATTTAATTTGTTTGTCAAGCTTTTTAAAATAAAATTTATGTTTAATTTATCTTCCAATATATGAACTGTATACTATTATAGATTTAGTAATAAAATTATATACTGTGTAATAAAATTATATAGTAATACACTATGTTATATACCAAAAAAATTTAAACCCTAATAAAGCCCACCTGAGTCAGGCTTTTTTGAAGAAACCCAGGCTTTTTTCACCCCTGAAATGTAGCAGCTCAACTATTTTTTAATGCTTATTTTATAAAATTATTATTTTTGTCAATTTTTAAATTAATAGTGGATACTGAACTTGTATAGTTATAAAATTTTGAGAAATATTAAAATTAAAGCTTTCGTTGAAAATTCTAAAATATCTAGAGCCTTGTAACTTTTCCTTATGGTATCTTCATATTTTTAGGAATCTGAGAATCATCAATCTGATTCGTTATCTGTGAATGTGAGACCACCCCTGTACTCTGAAATCCCAGGTACTGTACCTCTTAACACCGGAGCTGAAGGTGGCCCTCCTCCTTCTTATGAAGATGTTGTTGATCCTGAAGGTTGGTTTATTAGAAACTAATACAAAAAAAAAAAAAAAATTCTTTTATTGATATCACAGCTCGATATCAATGGTGGTCTTGCACCAGTAAAATTTGCTCAGAAGGTACACATTCTTACTATGCTGTTTACATATCTCTATGAGATATTTTTTTAAGAAAAAGTTAAATTTTATTGAAAATCTGTGCAATAGAGAAATATTCACAATTCCGATAAAATGAGACAGGGTGGTCCAAGGGATAGAGCACTCTCCTCCCAATGAGGTGACCTGGGTTCGAATCCCAGTGATGGCTGGTAGATACAAATTCCACACCCTGCTCACCCCGACTACATTACTGACTTAAAATATGCTCAGTGGTAGATGGATCATGGGTTAAAGTCCCCTTGTTCTCAGGCTAACCATTGGAGGTTTTTCTCTCTAATGCGGGTTAGTTCCATCATAAAGTCCTTCATGAAGCCAAATTCTCTCAATACTTGATCCAGCAGTTCCCTTGTGTTCCGGATTGGGTTCAAAATTACAAGGTGACTTAGTTGAATGCTGGTAGTCATAAGCTCAGTGCTGATTATAAAATCAAATTCCGACGAAATATTCTATTTTCTGACAAAAACATGACACTGAAGCAATATACAAGATCTTTACATGAATTGCTAGTCCAGGTGACTATTCATAATTTATTTTATGTTAGTGTTAGTCAAATTTTATCGATTCCAGACTACTGTTAATTTCAAGCCATGCAAAGATAATTCTAGATGCATGTAATATGTGTCAAAACATCAAAAATTGGTAGTTTAAATATTTAAATCTTTGGTACTAATTTACTTAATGTCAATGAAGTTATTCTCCTGAGAATGAAAGAAAATACAACATTATATAAATTTGGGTTACTATATTGGTATCAACGGTTAGAACAAGGCATTAAAATCTGTCCTGAAATAACATTAAATCAATGAACTGGGACTAATATATCAGATATTAACATTTTCAGTATGGACTGTAGTACTTATTAATTTTCTTTATTAGTGATATATGCTTCCTTTAATAGTTAAACAGAAAACTACTTTAACAAAACTAGAAATCAAATTGTGTATCTTTTTTAACTCTGAATTCATTTAAAAAAAAAAAACTTGTGAATTAAAACTTAAAAAATGAATCTTTTACAAAAATCCTATTTTTACCATTTAAGGACTGATTTCTAATTTTTTATAAAGAAAGTTTTTCTTTTGGCAGCACATTTTTTTACCATTGTTAATATTACAAATAATTATACGCATTTTAAATAATTGACATAAATTATGTTATAAAATAAGCAATTCTGAATTAATTTTAACTGTTTTGCAAATTTTGAAAGTTGATCCTTCTCAAAATGTGGTCCAGAGAAGCAAACTTTTTCACAAATCTTGATATTCCAAAATAAATGTTTGCAAAACCTGGATGATTCATAAATCAAAGAATAACTACTTTTTTTTTATTATTATTGAGTCATAACTTTTCATGGCTGTAAAGCTGGTGACTTTCCTGAAATAAGACTGTTTCTTACATGCTATTCTATAAAAAAATGAGCTCACAAAAAAGAAAATTTTGCCCTGAGTCATAAAGAAAAGAAAGTAATTCTGATCTAATTTTTCATTCAATCAATCCAATCTAGTTTTTGATAATATCTAAATGATGATGCTTCATTATATTTTGCCCAATTTAATGTTATTATGGAAAACTTCAGTCTTTAGATTGTGATGAAATATTATGTTAGAGGAAGGGAAAAAAAATTATTTTTTAAAGAAATAACAAGGTTCTCTACCTGTAGCCATATAAAGTGCAAAACAAGTTTTTTATGACTGCAAAAAAAATTAATTGTCGTAAGTTACGCTCAAAATGCTTCTTGTTAAGTAGTAAATGTTATTAGTAAACATTTACCATGAAACTCTTAATTATTAATACTGGTCTTTTGATCTTTATTTTGATAAAAATAATTATGTGATTTAATATTTATTTTCTCTTAAAATATAGCTTCTCCTCCAACCTATCAGTCTCTCTTTGGTCAAGTACGAGAAGCTCGAAAAAATTCAAGCAATTTTATAGATTTTCTGCGCAAAGTTATTGTTATTTTACTTGGGACAAGTAAGCATTGTTTTACTTTATTCAAAATGTTTTACTTTAAAAACATAACATAATGGTAACACAGAAAAGAAAAGTTTCTTTTATTTTAAGAAAGAATTATTAAAGCCAATTGCTTTGTTTTCTCTGAAAGTCTTATTCACTAATTGCTTGTGGAAAATACAAATTAAAAATGCTAATTCTTAGTTATTGTTTGCTATGCAATCTATTGTCTAATAAATTTTTATTGGAAATTTAAAGATATTTTTAAATATAAAATAAGATGGTTTTTAGTATGCATATAATCTATTTTATATGTATATATATTTCTTTAATTGTTATATTTTACTTAATGTCTAGGGCTCATTCTTAACCTTAAAAAGGGCAGGGTGCTAAAAATTTGAAAGGGCACTCTATCCACACAAAAAGAGGTCATTGTATTTCACAAAAAATTACTCGATTCTTAAGAGACTCATAATATTAATTTAAAAACTTATGTATATTGGGGCAAAAGGCATGCTTGGGTGAAATTTTCGATCTAAAGGGAAAACAGGGTCTCCCTCCTTGCTTGAAGAGGTTAAGAAGTCATCTATGACTTCTTGAAATAAGTGTTAACTTAAGTCATGACAATTTAATCTTGATTATTAGGATATTTTTTTTTCTTTATAACTCCTTAATTTAAAATTTAATTTTTGAGAGATTTTGAATAGCAAGAAAAGAGTTCCTTCCAAACTTACAAAATGGTTTGAAAATTTTACATAAGCCATATAACATTTTCATACATATTTTCTGAAAACAAAAAAAAAATTGCAAACTTTTTTTTCCAAGGCAGTACAAAGATAAGTAATAAAAATATTTAACTTTCTCTTATATTTTTGTTTTACTGTCAGAATGCATGTGTGCGTTAGAGTGATTTTCAGAGCTCACCCTAAGCGTTAAAAAGGGCAAGGTGTTTCCTCACAGAAAACAACACTCACTTATTACCATTTAAATTTATCAAAATGTGTAATATTATAAAAAAACTGAATTTTATCCTCAATTTTTAAATTACCCTCTTATACTATTTTATGTGTATATTTCACAAAGTTAATCTCACTCTTTATCAAAATAACCCAATAATTTGAAACTTTGAAAAGTAATAGAAGTCAAGCTAAAAAGCAATTTCTGTGCATAAATTTTCTTCAAAAAAAAATAATAAGCTATAAACAACTTGAAAGGTTTTTTTTATATTTAAACTGAAAATTGTGAGAAGATAAACATTTAAAAGTGCAATTTTTGAATAAAAATTATTTATTAAACAAAAATAATGGTAAAATTTAAAATCACTAAAAAACTCAATAATAACCACTCCTCCGACATAAAAGATGTGAAGATCTCTGGGCACTAACTCTGAAATTTTAACTGTATAGCAAGACAACATAAGAAAAATGAAATTAGAAAATCGAAGGAATGAAATTAGAAATTAAAGTTAAATAATTATCAATAATTTAATAAATCATAAGTAGACTTTTCAGTCAAACAATTGTTTAAGAAAACAACCTTTTCCTGAAGAAAATAAAATAAAAGGTCTGTGTTTTTAAGAGATGGTGGCTGATTTTTACAGAAAGGACAAGAAGGGTGCATTTATAGAGATCAAAGGGCAGGCTGTCTTCTAAGAACGCTTAGGAGAACAAAGTGATTTCCTTTCTCATCTGTATACATGAAAATATCATATTTTAAACTTTAAATATTACTTTAATGCTATGAATTAAATAAGATATAAATAGATGTTATATGCAATTCAGTCTCTTCTTGTATTTCTTTGTGTGTGTTTATATAATATTTTAATTGAAATGGAAAAAAGAGCATAAAAGCTATAAATCAACTTTATCTGCTATTCTAAAAGAATCATATATTATATAAATTTAATTTTTGATTTTAGAGAATAATCTTTCCATAACCATATAACTTTAAAATTTTAAATCTTTCATATTTTAACTCAATATTTCAGGTCCGAAAAAAAAAATATTAAAATAAACAAAAATTAGATTCTTTTTTAAAATTTATACAATTTAAGTTTTAAATTAATTAAAATAAATCTGAAATTGAAATCTTCAGTATTGGATATTTTTACTCAATAATTCACTTTAAAAGAAAAAATCAAATTTAAATTTTGAAGGAAGATCAAATTTTTCTAGCACTTTGCTTTAAACAAGTAAATTAAATTATTGATAGCTATAAACTGAATCTGAAATTGAGACATATTTCTACGAAAAGTTTCATTGTAGAAAATGAATTTTAACATAAATATTAGTAAACCTCAATAATAATATCAAAAAATATGTATTACAGTTAATACTTTGACTTGTCTTTATGAGTCTGTACCTGGAAATAATAATATTTCATTTTCAGTTTTTAAATTTTGTGATTATCAAAATCTAACAAAAATCTTTTAAATAGTTACCTCTTATTTGCAATGTAGTGTTTGAATATTATTTCTAATCAGTTTAGTATTCACAATTGTTACCTAAAAACTAAAATACAAATTCTTTCATTGTTTAAAACACATTCATTATATGAAATTCTAAACATTAAATGAGCTTCTAAGCAAGCCACTACTAAATGCAAATCAATTTTCTATTGCTTAATTTTTCTTTTTTTTTATTTTAAAACAGTCTATAGTAATAACACCCATAAGTCTTCTTGGTGCTCAATAAATAATTAGCCTTCTTAGTATAAAAGTTGTGAGGAGCATAAATCATAACTAAGTTGTTTGTCAGTTGTAAAAAGTTCATAGTTTCACAGAAAAAGCCTAAAACACTGGAGTTTTAGCCATGCAATTATAGTGTAGATGTCTACACAGAAAGCCCTTAAAAATAGATGACCAAAGCATAGCAATATCAGCATAAGAATTTTTATAAATGCGGGGTATTCTGCATTTTACCAATCAAGCCTTAGTTATAATATAAAGGCATCTTTCAATTGTACATCTTTCACAGTTAGATGAGAGAAAAAGCAGCTATTGAAGATTCTCTCTTCTTGAAAGGACATGGCGTTCTCCAAAAGTATCCCCTGGGCGTCTCTGTTTTTTTGGTGACTGTTTTCCTCTTCTTTTTTTTACCTTCATAATTTGTAGATTTTTTTAATAAAATAAATTCATTCTTGAGGGTGTCTACTTCAAAGTTGTAATCTGTAACGCGAAATTCAGATGTTAGCATTAATAGCCATAGACATTACCTCTCGCAAATGCTCCATTTACGACCGAATATTTCATTGTGGTAAGTAAGTTTTGTCTTATAAAATATGTGTCTCAATTCAAACTACTATATTTAGCTAGAGTTGTGAGTTTTCAGTTCACAAATATTAAAAATGCAGAGCAATAGTTTTAGACATAAAGAGGGAAATTTACTAAATATACATCACACAAAGACTGCAATCTACGCTAATGTCTCTGTTTGTTTTTGTAGCCTAGTGGTAGCCTTTAAAAAAATTTTTGAATTTGGGATAGAGGGATAAAGAAACTCTCTATGTAAATAAGCCCAAATGTCATTAATGCAGATTTGAATATGTGGTGGCAAATGAAGGATTAAATGTTTGAAAATTCTTACATGTTAGATTACATGTTAGCCCATTTGTAGTATAACTGATGCATTTTTATTCACAGTGAAATTTTTATCAAGAGTTTTTAATTTTGGTATAGTTAATATACGTTTAAATAAAACTAATTACTAGTTTTTTTGGTGAACAGTTTTATTTAAAATTTTCATTAATTAGATACAGATGAGCTCCTAATTTTATTACTGTATATGATGTTTGGGAGAGACTGAGGTTCGATCCCCAATGGCGGCTTGAAGCCCACCCAGCTTCAGATCAATGGATGCCATCTTGTCTAAAAGTAAAGACGACCTGTACTTAATGCTGTCCACAGTGTCACAATTATGCCATTGGTCATGAAATTATGGAGCCTTAACCTCAATGGCTCCCCTAGTTGTGGGAATGCTTTACTTTATATGATGATTGGATTATCATATAAAGTAAAGCATTATGTATTTTATATTTCAATATACAGCAATAATAGTTAGCTGTTTAAAAAATAGCTGAACTTTAAAACTCTTTTAATGTATTTGATTAAAATCTAGAGCAACTAAAAAATAAGACGTCAATTGATTTATATGTATTTTTGTTTTAGTTGGATGCAGTATAATTTTGGGTATTACTATAGTTGTACCAATTTCAATGGTCATAATTGGTAAGTGGCATACTGTTTTATTTTATTGATTGTTTTATAAAATCATTAAAAAATTTTATTTTATCAAATTTTAATATTTTAAATAATTGTTTAATTAATCCAATTGTCTATCTTTTGTATATTCCTTTTTAAAATTTAAATAAAATTTTTATTTTAAAACATTCTGTTCTGTTTAAACTGTTCTAGTTTACATTCTGATTTATTCTTCATTTTTATTTATTTTTTATTAATATGAAAGAATGTAATACATTTTAAAATATTCATTGTTATATTTTGCAAAAATAAAATCTTTTGAAATGAAATTTCACAGCTAATAAAATTTACTCCCAAATAATACATTTTAAAATTACTTGCTTAGTTAAATAGTTTTTTTTTTTTTTTGTTGGCGAAACATTACAGTTAAAGCTTTATAAAGAATATTTTATTGTAAATTTTAAGCACTATAATATCCTAAGAAAATTTTATCACTGGGACTTTCACTGGTTTGTACATATTTCCACTGGTTCATGCTAATGCCCAGTTAGATTTTTTTTTTAAGTACTTAAATATTTATGATGTACTTAATTTATGATGTACTTAATTTTTTTAAGTACTTAATTTTTCAAATACAATAATAATTAAACTAATCGACAGTGTGTGTGCCTCCAAACCGGTATTAAAGTTATCANCTCTTTCTTATATTCCAGCAGAACATGAGAATGAGTTGGCTGCTTGCCTAAAATGTATGGCACGATTCAAAGATTTTTGGAAAATTTAAAGTATTAACCTTTATTTCTGCTTTTTAAATAAATCGTTTTATTAGCTGCTTAAGCATATATTTTTGGTTTACTTGTTTGATCTTGATGTCTTATTTGTTAATTACCACTGTATAATTATTTTTAAACAGCCCCTTTATGATAAAAACTGGTGATCAGTAAGTACCCCAGAAGTGATCAGGAATTACCCCAGAAAGGATCAAGAAGGGGTAATTCCTGATCATTAAAAATTTAAAATATTTTAAATTCTAATTAGATTTTTAAACAAAACAAGATATCCTAGGACTCATCTCATATAGCCTCAAACTTCCAGTAAATATTATAATTCTATCTTGAATAGTTTTCTTACAAAATAGATGTTGCAAAATAGAATCTACCCCAGGTCACCCTACAATAATAATTAAACTAATCGACAGTGTGTGTGCCTCCAAACCGGTATTAAAGTTATCAATCTTGAAATACACATATTATCTAATTTTTTTTTAATTAAGTTACAATGAACTGAAATTAGTTTTAAATAGTTTATATTTAGATTTTGTTGACGATTTTATTAGCAATCTTTATGTTAGAAAAAAGTATATTTTTAATCATAAAAAAAAAAAACTAGCCTGTGTAGTAGTTGAAATAATTTAGTTCTTTTATTTCAGATTTATTTTAAATGTTTGTCTAGTCATAATAATTTCTCATTTTCATTTACAGGCACTCAATATTTTGGAGAATGTCCTGTAGAACAGTTTATTCCTATTTATTTAATTGTTGGGGGAGCTTTTGGAATATTTAAAAATTTATTGGGGTACATTGCACGTTGTAAAAAGAATGATGATGAGCAAGAACATATTATCCATCGATCTCGAGACAGTATAATAAACTGCTTTTTATTTGCCTGGTTCATTACTGGTGAGTTATATTATTCTGCTTTGTGTTTTTTTAATTAGTTACTTTTATTTATATTGAATCTGTAGAATTACTTAAAATAAAATTGATTTTCTTCCAATTATTACTATCATTATTTAAATATTTTCTCCGATTGAAATACGAGTACTGTAAGATACTGATAAAGCATCCCCACCCCAAAATTTGCTGATAATCACCGCGATGTTGAGGGGGGAATAAATGGTAATGAAGAGTGCCATTTTAAAAAAAATTATCTATATTCGGTCTGGCATTATTAAGTGGGAATTACAAAATATACAGTAAAAATAATAATAGCAAAAGAAAGTAAATATAAACTTTAATTAGTAAATCTATCTTACCTTTACAGCTATCCTTTATTTTTAAATCTCGGCACATGCAAACTGGTGAAAAATATGGAGGACAAAATATTTCATAAAAAGAAAGATAATTTATTTAGTTACATTAATCATAATATGAAAATCCATCAAAAGAAATATCAGAGTCATGGTCCAAAATAAGGTCTATGCACTCTTCATTCAGTTCATCAGTAACATCATTGTCTATAGATGTGACATTAACTTCTGCTAATTGGAAATTAAATAGCCCATCTTCGCTTCCATCCAATGCGTTGGATATACCACAGTGCTTAAACGAGTTTGAAACTGCCTCTTTAGAGGCAGCTTCCCAAGCGGCTGACACGAAACCAATCACATCTTGTCGAGTTGATTTTTTAAATTCCCGGCAAGGTTCTTTTGTTTGTTCCTAGACCACCTACTCTCTTCGCAATGCACTTTTATAGGATGCTGTCCAGGAAACATCTGGCTGCAGAACGCTTTTGCACCCTGCCGGAATCAAAACTATATTTGTGTCCAGATTTTTTAATTTTTTACAGAGACTTGAGGTTCCATGAATTGAACCGAGATCCAAGATAATTAATCTACTTACGTCATTCTCATTTGTACCCCAACTTCCCGTAAGGTTAGTCGTCATCCATCCATTGAGAGAGCAGGTAACTTTAACATTATGTGGAATTTAAGTCTTTAGCAAACAAGGTGGGATGTGTCCTGTCGGTTCTTTTTAAATCACATATATAGGAAGTTGATGTCCAGGTGCAGTTGCTCCTAGCAGGACTGTAAATCCTTGCTTTTTGCATCTGCTGTTAGAGATGCTTTTTCCGACAGTATCATTTGTCGAGTGTATGGTTCATCAAACCCTTTCGAAGTTTGATCCTTATTTTGTATATTATATGGCATGTAATCATTTTTCATCTTCAATGAACGGATAGCTTGAATGAAGCCATTTGCAGCTTCCACGTGATCAGCTGACCTCTTCGCATTGAAATACCATATCTTTCCCCCCTCATTTTATGTACATCGACGATGGCTTGAAATCTGAAAATTCAAGAGTAGCTGCTATTTTCACAGCTTCTTTGAATATTCTGCTGGATACAGTAAAGCCAATTTACCATACTTTTTCTAAAAATTCGAAGAGGGTATCATCTAACTCCTCGTATAAAAGTTTTCTCCCAGTGATCAGTTTCCTCATTTTTTTGTTCGCCATAATCGTTAGCCAATGAAACTTCTTCTTTAGTAATCCACTCTCAAATCGTTTTTCTGTCAATGCCGAAATGCCTTGAAGTTCGGTGTGTTACTGAACCATTTTCCTTATACCGTTGGGTGACTTCCAATTTTTTAGAAACGGTGTAAGAACTTTATTTTAGGCATCGTCACAAATCTGAATAAAGACTGCAAATCTTTTCTTCTTTTTTTTCCCAATGGCAGGCACTGAATTTGTATCTTTGCCTATACTATGCCAGAATTGTTGCTCATTTCGCGTTACCCAGTGGGCACCTGTGAACCAAAGTCACGGAGGCGAGCAACATTGCCCACGCCACACTGCCACAAACCCGTTTATAGGGTGGGCCACATTCACACATCATACACACACACAACAGAGGACAGCACAAAGAGAGAGAGAAACATCCATGCCCAGAGCGGGGTTCGAACCCGCAGCCTATGGCTTCGCAGTCAGGCACGCTAACCGCTTGGCCACCTGGCCGGCAGACTGCAAATCTTGTTGATGATGATCTCAATAAATACTGATTCTAATCTGTTGTTGTTAATCTAGTGTTAATATTTCTTGTTTAAAAACCATTCAAATTGAAACATCAGTGATGCAATCTTTATTGACTTTAAAATCATTCTGGACCTCGGACCTTGAATGGGGGTAAAGCAATTAATTTTTAAAATTCAACTGAAATCATCTGTAGACATGGGTAAGAAGCAATCCACGCATTAAATTGAGATGCTCATTAAATTATCTAAAATACATGCTGAAATATTCGCTAATGACCTAGGAAATGGTTAAAATTGGGTTACCTTTTAATTGTTTTATTTACACTGAAAAGAAATATTTATGAGCTTTGTTTATTTTTAAATTAGAGCCTTTTTCCTGAAATTCATAAATAATCTATAACTAGGTATATCAGATAGATAAGTTGAACCAAAACTTTTGTGTTGGTGACACCCCTGTAAAAATTGTTTAATTGTTTGCTAATTTATTTTTTGTGCATTTATTTGGAAGTTTATTGTTCATAAATATCAAATTATTAATGACTGGATAAAAATAATAAATACATATTTTTCCCATTTATTTATAATTTGAGTATAAAACACTGCTACATTGAAATTACTCCTTAAATCTAAATGTTCACTTAATTTGATCATTTTTTTTTTTTTTTTTTTTTTTTTTTTTTNTTCAAAATAGTTGAGTGAAAATGTGAAATATTATTATGATATTATTGATAGAATGAGTTTTACTTTGAAGAAAATTGACAAAGCATGCTATTTCCTTATGAAATTTTTTAGAATTATTGTATCAAAAAACTTTATGGAATGAACATTTGAATCCCATGAGCTCTTTATGAAATGTAAAAAATAAATTAAAGCCAATCTCTTATATTCTATTGCATTAACACTATTTTCCCAATTTTTTAATTTTAACCTTTATTTTTGATTTTTCATTTTTGGAAAAGTACATGTGAAAGTGTTTTGTAGAATGATTTTTTCCTCATCAATTTTTACATACCTTCGTCCCACTTAGTTGCATATCGGATAATCGAATAATCCGTTGATACGAATAAAATTTAATGGAACCAAATCATTTTATATGAAACTAATGTTAAATTTCCTCACTTAAATTTATATCTGTTGTTTCTAGTTCTCGCTTAATTGCATAAAGAAGAGGTACGGAAATGAAAAAAATCTGTTTATTTTGAAGAAATGTTTTACCAGCTAGCATGAAATTTTAAGTCAAAATAAGATTGCAATTAGTGGTCACTTCAATAGGTACTGTTCATTTGCTGCTCTGAATAGGTGCTAGGAATATAATTTAAGAATTAATATCTTGCTGGCAGTTATACTTTGGAGTGGAAGAAGGGGTTTTACCCCCATCCTTGACTTAATTCACTCTCACATTATTTAGAATGTAAAAAGGTACAGAATGATTTCTTTCACAGTGAAGCACAGTTATTCACTTATGGTTATTCACTTCCTGCTGTGCTATTAGTTTTGATAAGAAAAGGTTTCAAAAATCTAACACACTAGCCTATAGCATCTTTCTTTAAAGTAGAATAATCATTGCTTGCTCCAGTGAATACAGATAAGTGTGAACAGGAATGATTTGAAATAATCAGAAAAGAAAAGAAATAAAAGTTTTGGGAGAAATAAATTTCAAAAATCTCAAACTGAAATAGCTAACTAATTTGGAGTTTCTTAAATTTCAAGGACAGAAAAAAAATATTTAAAGTATTCGAAAGGAATATGCAAGTAATGAAAATTCTTAGTAAAAAAGAAAGAGAAAATCGAATTTTAATAAATTGACAAATTTTTTCGAAAGGAGCAAAATAATATTATATAATTATTTGTCATCAGCATAGATTTATTTTTATATAACTTTAAAGAGATTTATGTTTTATAATACTAACACAAACAGTTTAAATTGTGGTTGTTTATTTATCATAAAATTGAGTTTAAGATAAAACACTATGCCGTAGGGAACCGATTATCCGGAACGATCGGGACCATCGCTATTCCGGATAACTGATTTTTCCGGTTTTCTGAATATCTACAAAAGCCATTTTTTTTATTGTTAAGCCCAACTAAGAAAAATTTTTGGAAATAATCTTAAAAAGAAGAAAAAACGATGAAGTAACAAAATGATGGTAAAGTAAACATCTTTCAAAAAAGAAAGAAAAGTCCTAAAATCTTCTGAGGAAAAAAGAAAAAATATTTTTAACTGGCGGGGAAAATTTATCGAATTTCGTTCCGGTTTTTTGGTTTTCCGGATAACGGGTTCTGTACTGTACTATGCATTAGATACCATTAAAAAGTTAAATTTCCGTTAGATTAAGCACTTAAAATTGAATGATCCACTTCCCTTTCAATTAAACGACCCACTTAATTGAATAGTATTGGCTGGAACCAATGGTATTCCTTTAAGCGGGGTTGACTGTACCTATTTTGTGCAATTAAATTTTTTTTTTCATCCTTCAACAGGATGCATATGGACTTACAGAGTTTATGAACCAGAATATGAAGATATAACCAGCCCATTTTACTGTAACAAAACATTATATCTGTTCGCGTTTTGGCTTGTGACAGCTTCCTTTATACTGTCAGGCCTTTTAACCATTTTCTGCACATGTTTCATCGTCTCTTCTGTAGTTACAAACATTGAATGATAGACAGCAAATGCATGTGGTTGTACATAATCCTGAATCTCAAGATGATATGCCTAGTAATTTTTACCTTTTTTAAATACACTTGCCAACTCTTAGTGGTTGCAGTGAAAGTCCAAATTGTTGCCATCCTTAGAGACTTAACAGTGCTCTAGCCAAAAAGGTTGTTGTACAGGTAAAAAATGGTTACAGTTTTATTTAGTTACATTTTCATCGTTAACAATTTTGTTAAAGTTTATACTGTTATGAGATGCATTATATTTAATTTGTACTAGTCATACATAATTAATTCCTTAATTTTTTATCCTATCAGTACATAATTAATAATATAACTATTTTTATTGTTTTACTTCATAGTTCAGTACTAACTTCTGTTAATTATTTTTTGAACTTTGTAACTTTGACTACCATAAGCACTTTTTAAAAATAAAAGAAATTGGGAACATGATGAGCTAAATACATAACATATAATGTATACAGATGAGTCCCGATTATCCGACTGTGGACCGCTACTGACTCGGTTACAGCGAAGAGTAGGTATAGATGTAATATAACAAATACAAAATCTATATGGGTACACCACACACAATTCATATTATAATTAAGAAGCTTATTATTAAAAAACATTTAAAGAGCATACTTTACAAGAATGAAGGAGTTTTACTGAAAAAAAAGTCCTTGATCGTTTTTTGTTTTACATTATTGCCATTTTTTTACTCCTCTTGTTCTATATATTCAATAACACTTTCGATAGCTTTTATTCCATCTGTATGAGAGATTTTTATATGTTGATTTTCATCATTGCACTGTCTTCATCATCTTTGTTATATGCATTTTTATTATTGACAATATTAACAATCATTAATTCGAATCAAGTTGTTTGATTTCATTTTCCTAAGTGTTTAGAAGATAAAATGCAGTTTGTTTGTTTTTCTGGGGTAGTTTTTAAAATAAAAAATAAACTAGAACAACAAAAAAAATCCTTTAAATATTTTATAGCTTGGTTAAAACAGAAACTCGGATAATTGGGACTCTCCTATATATATATATATATATATATATATTAATTAGACCTGAAAATGTAGAGTTTCAGTTAGTAGCCAATGGCTTGTAGACTCTTATAACTTTGTAACCCCTTTTTTATCAAGCCTAATGATTTTGAGATTGATCAATCATTTTCATTTAATAGCCTATTTTTGCAAACCATTTTTAGGATTAAATTACATTTGTAAATAAATATATATATATTAAAAATGATCTACAGCTATAAAAATTTAATTCGACAATGAAAATAATACAAAATTTAGTTAGACATACTGACTTTAAAGAAATTTATTTAAAAATATTTGGTGAGGTAAAATTAGTTAATGTATATCTTACAACTTTGAAATATGCTAATTGTTAAAGAGTTCTTCTTCCACATGAATTTTTCTATCAAAATTGGTAGACTCTGAAGGATCAAAATTTTGAATGGAAGCATTGGACACTTTAAAGAAAATTCTGTTCTCTAGAGTCTTTCTGCATTAATCATGGAGCGCAGCATTTTCAAAAAGTGCTTAATGGTGCTTATTTTTGTTTTTTAAAAGCCATTAAAACAGCCAATGAAAAGAGAACCTTTGTGCTTTTTCCATTGGGTGTTTTTAAGAAATGCTTAATTTTCCCTTTTTGAAAATGAGATTTTTTTTCTTTACCATGTCAATTTTCACCACAAATTATGCAAAAGTTGTCCTATTCAACGTTTTCACAATTCATTCAATCACAATCTATTTCGGCGTATGAAAGCGCCAATCATTTTACATATTTGATGAAAAACTTGGGAGTACACATGTGCATCTACTGAGCTGGGTTTCGGTGAGATTCTTGCACTCTCATGTGGAACTCATTTTGCAAGATGTTCTCAATTTCAGGGTAACTTTTTCACCGTCTGATATCGAATCGGAAAACCTCTTCATCTTTTCGTACTGGCTTGTATAATCAAAAAAAGAGTTCTTTGTCAAATACTGGTTATTTTATCATGACCATATAAAGTCTTTGAAAAATATTTTCCATTTTGTTAATGTATATAAGTGCTTAAAAAGTACTTAAAAGATGATTATTTTTTGTTGAAAGATTTGGCTACGCACCCAGTTGATGTACTTAGACCATCAAACAATTTTCAAGGAAAAGAAAAAGTAACTGACTGTTTATTTAATTTAAGCCACCACTTTTTTTTTTGTTCACTCGCCAGGTTTCTGGTGGACATTTTTAAGTCTAATATATATATATATATATATATATATATCAGTATTAAGATTATTTTAATAGCATTGTCTGAATTATTTGATAGTCATTAATGACTGACTGAATTATTGACTGTCATTCAAGTCAGAGTAAATTACTTTTTTGACTGCAGCCTTTTCTTTAATATCAAACTGTAGTATTCACAGTTCAATGTATAGTATTATTCTATGAGGAATATCCTTAATGATGAGTATAGAATTCACTGTTATTTTTTTTCTCTGCGAAAGTCCTACTTTTTTATGTTAAAGATATGAATTTCTTTTCATGTCTTAAACATATTGTAGTCTGAAATACAAAATGAAAAAAATTAATTTGAAGTTATGAAAATTTTTTAAAGTGTACCAATGTACTTTTGATTGTCAGGAAAAGAACATAGTCATTGTCTGTTATATTTTTTTCTCATTATTTTTAATGATTTGATTGTTGATAGATTGTAAATCAAAATGATTAGCTTGGTAGTATAAGATGATTATTAATTAGACTAGGTGTTGTATAAAAGCCATGTTTTCTGTAAAAAATATTAATTCCATAAGCTTACAAATGGGCAAAAAGTTGAAATGATTATTTTAAAATTTTTGTTTTTCAAAAAAAAAAAATTTATTTTCTTTCTTTCCTGATACTTTGGACTTTCACTGTATTTTTCGAGCTGCATAAACAGTGATTGCTATTGCATAAGCCATTAATTTTTTTAAAAAATCTTGCTTATTAGAGGGCGACTAATATTTAACTAATATTTCTGGAGCTCAATTTCTAAGACACATGTACTAATCAAATTTAACGCAATAGTTATGTTTTCGTATAATATGTTTCATTTGATAATTTTATTAATGCCATTTTTTTTCATCATATACTTTAGAATGTTATTACATTTTTCTTTAAAATCCCATTTATCTCTTTATTACTGTAAAAAAGTTGGCCAGATTGTTATCTATTAATAATATTTAAAATCCTGCCAGTTTTGTTATAACTACCCTATTAATAAAGAAAAAAATATTGCATCACTAGTAAGTAAAAGTTTACATTTGTGTCAGAAATCTTAGCACTTACCAATGCAAGAAATAGTATTTTTTGTTTCATGCAAATAAATAAACTATCAATTTATAAATACACCGAAGAGCCATTACATTATGACCACCCTACTAATAACATGTAGGACCACCTTTAGCCCTCAAAACTGCTAGCACCCGCCTTGGCATTGATTCCACAAAGTGCTGATAAGTAGTCTGAGGTATCTGGTACCAAGCGCTCACCAACTGGTCCTGCAATTCCCTCACATTGTGAGGGGGTAGTGTGGCAGCACGAATTTGGTTTTCCAAGTAGGGCCACAAATTCTCTATTGGATTAAGGTCAGGTGAATTTAGAGGCCAAGACATGACTTGAAAGTCACTGGAATGTTCCTCAAACCAATCCATGACGATTCGACCCTTATGACATGGTGCATTATCCTGTTGGTAAACACCATCCCCCGCAGGAAAAACTGTTGCCATGAATGGGTGAACCTGAGTACTAATCATCAAAAAGTAGCTTACAGACGTCAGGGATTGTTCTATGAGGATTATGGGTCCTAATGTGCCCCATGAAAACATTGTTTCTAGGCGAGAAACCATGAAAACCTGGGCGAGCTCATAATTATAGATGGAGCGTGGTCATAATGGAATGGCTCTTCGGTGTATATATATATTAGGGTACGAATTTTAATTTTAAAGATACTAGCCAGACTAAAACTCTTGTTTATTGCTAGTTTACATTCCTGAAAAATATGAACAATTTTCAAAACGTTAACAGAAGTAATATGAATAACCTTTTGATGACCGAAACCATAAAGAAAATAAAGTACGTATTAGATGCTTATTTATTTCGATTATTATAATAAATCAAAATAGGGTTTCGAAACATTTTCTGGTGCCTCTGATTTGAGACTCAATAATCTATGTAGTTTAACTATGTAGCAGTGTTAGATAAGTGTATGTGGTTTAATTTAAAACTCAGCAATTTAGAAGATGAAACTTCTTACCATTCTTAAATATTTGATTGCTAATACCCATTGCAGGCTCTTCAAAGTTGCTGAGGTCATTTGCGTTGCGAAACTTTGTTTAAATTTATCAAAGAAATGTCTCAAACGGAGCTCTTATCAACGCCTTTGTCGAACTCACTTGCAAAGAGAACTTTGCTCCTTAAATCAGGGTGCTCGTTAAAAGTAATTTCGTTAAAACCATCAAACATAAAAGTTACAGCGCATACAAATAAGTAAATAAATAATGTATAACTTTTATTTCTTCAGTACATGAAAGATAAACATGAGTAAGCCTTGTTTATAATTCACCATAGCATCTTTATCCTTACAATTATCTTAGATTAAAATCCACCATAAGTTGATTCTTTGGATTTTGAAGAAAAAAAATCTATTTTTTTTCCTAGAATCTTCAATAAAATAATTTTTTTTTAAGCATTTTAAAAATCTAATCCTTCTTAAAATCTAATTTATGTTTATAGCAACAAAATTTTAAATAGTTTATTATCATGAAAGGGACCTATTTATCCTTGTTAAACCAGAGGTCTAGTTAAATCAGGGTTCAAAATCAAACAGTTTAACTGTATTACCAGTGCTGCAATACTCTTTTTTACTGATGCTATAATAGGGGTATAAAATTTCGCATTTATTCCTTTTAGTTATAGTAGATTTAGTTTGTTTACATTTATAAAAGTGTTTTAATATTTCACAAAATGTTTTTAATCGATGTTTTCCTTTTGAAAATCATCTTTTGGGGTATCATTTATCATAATTGAGCTTATTAGTCTTAATCACCGGTGATTTTAAACATTTGTTGTATTTTAACATTATTAAAAAAATTATATAGTATAAATTATTGAGTAAAATAGGAAAACCCCCAATTTAATTATTTTTTCAATGTTTTTTATACGCTTTTAAAGTAACTTAGTTCAAAACTTGAATCTGGTAGTATTTGGGGAAAAATAATAGTTTGTTAATCTTAGTATACTTAAAAAGTATGATTTCATTACTAATTTAAATGTTTGCAAAGTGTTATGAAAAATCTTTTTCTAAAATCTTATAATTTTAAAATGCACCAAATCTAATTTTTTTGTACTTGAGTTTGAAACAAATAATTAATATATTTATACTGATCTGAATATTGTTTTATTTCCTGTCTCTTGGCCTGATCATATGTTTTTATATATTTTCATAAAGTGTTCTGCTAATTTAGCTGCATAGATTCTCATGGCTTGTGTCTCTTTCTCAATTTATATTCTTGCCTGTTTCATTTTCTCACTTTTAACAAAATGTTCATTATTGATAATATCATCCTTTTATAAAGTCATTGTTTTATTTTATGATTAGAATATTCTCTTAACCCACTGGCGGTTAAGGAAATGGGCAAAATTGGGAGAATGATTATCCCCTACACACAGTTCCCCTATCTATTAACATGGGAAAACCGGTTTTGCTATGCAGAGAAGACTGCAGGTTAAAATGCGACTTTTTATGTGCAGAACCATCAGTGGGTTAAATTATCAGGACAAAGAGTTCATTTAACTCTTTATCAATTATTTCTTCAATTTTACTAGTGGCTAAATGTATATTAATCAAGCCTAACTGAATAATAACATTAAGTTTGCTGTGAATTCGTCCGATAATAAATTAGGGAAAATAGAAATGTATAAAGGTATTTTGAAAAACTTTTTTTTTTTTTTGTATAAATTGAGAAGACAGTAATGAAATTGCAATTAACATGATGTGCACTTTTTTAGAAATGAAAACCATGTCTTGTAAAAATACTAAAGTTTAAAAGGCTTGCCTTTGCTTGTAAACTTTAGATCTCTGTGTTTTAATATTTCTATTGAATATCTATGAATAAGACTTTTTTAACACTGTGAAGCTATATCAAAAGACATATTTCTAATATTAACTTCAAATTATTCCAAGTTTAATTACCTTTGCATAATTCTATAATTTAATAGTGTCTTATAATGATCTGTTAGCCACATTGGTTCAAAACCTCTTATACTAATAGTGTTGTTTTAATGAGCTTTTGTTGGCCAAATGAGTTCAAAAATCTATGTTTTGTTTTTAGCTTAATCAATATAAATAAAAATGTGCTCCCTGTTTGGTTAATAAATTTTGTTCCAGCTTGTTTACTTTCTGCACTAACATTTATGCTTTCCATAATTAAGTTCTTATATGTGTGATGGTGTGCTGGACTTAGGTCTTATTTAAATGTTTATTAAACACTTAGTAGCTAAGCCTAGTGCTGCTAAATTTATCTATTCTTAAAATTTTTAGACCATAACACCTATGCCTCTGTTGCCCAGGTCATCATCACAATAATAATGATAAAAATCACATTGAAAAATCCTGATTTTTGGTTGTAGTTGTAACAAGAGCTAAATTAATTATTCCATACTTTAGTAGACATTCTCTTGTTTTCGTAATCTTAATTTTTAGTGTTAGAACTAATTCTAAAGAAATTGAATTTAAAATCCTGACAATGCTGACTGTTAATTGCATTCCAAAGTAAAAGTGTCTAGATACTTTTTCGTCAAAACAGGCATGTATGAAACAACGTAAAAATAGTGTTAAAGTAATATTTTGTTCCCCCTTCCCAATAGATGTAATTTTTAAGGATATGTATGAAATGGTGCTTTATAAATGTTTTTAAACTTCCTTTATGATTGCCGTCATACATTTACTAACATTTAAATTTTGTGATTAAGATATATTTCTTGTCAAATAAATGAACAAACCTTATTGTGTTTGTAACCATAATTTTTAAGTCCATAAAATTCAAAGTAAAAAGTGCATAAATGTTTCCAGCTTTTAGAGATTCTTATAATGCTCAAATGTTATATGTTGTGAAATGTTCTAGCTTGGAAATCTATTAAAACAAATACTTTCATATTTTTGTCATGTTTTACGGATTTGCTTTTGAAATGCCTATCCATTTTGTAGCTATATTCAATTTAGCTTATTTTTGCCTGTCCACATATTGCTACTGTTTATATATTTGTATATATTGTTATCTAGTCTTTATAAATGTGTTTGCTTTTGTGTTTCTGAGATTATTAACACCGAGCTATACATTTGATTTTAAAATAAATGATTCATTGGTTTTTTTTATTATTATTATTTCGTTTAACCTGTGCATTTAAAATTGTTAATGCTTCTGTTAGAGCTTTATTTTATTATGGAGTACTTTTATTTTATTATTTTTCTGTGTTCATATTTTCTGCAAAACAGATATTTAGAAACAATAATTATAATTAAGGCATACCTGTTACGTAACAATGTTGGGTGGAAGTTAATTTATTTTGATAGAAAATTGAAGTTAAATATATTAACTGGTCCTGGCTGCCTGATTTTTAATTCAATGTTTACATTTTTATCATTTTAATTATTAGAACGATTCTAAAGATTTAATTCATTTAATTTGGAATATTTAATTATTTTTGAAATTTTTTAACAGTTTTTTTTTTTTAGCACAGTTAACGAAAGAGAATAAAAATTTGTTTTAACATAGATATAGTTATTTCATTTTCAATTATTTGCTTATCCAGATTATTCTTTTACTTTTAAGAACTATATATATGTTTGTTATTGCTTGGTAATGAATATGAATTTTTTTTATTCAAATTTAAAAACAGGGAAAATTTAATCATTTTTTTTAATTATTTATATTATGATCTAAGGAGGTCTATTCTTTTTATGAAAAGAAGCATTCTCAGTTTGTTGATAGGAATATTATTTGATGTTATTTAGCTTTGGCGATTCTCATTTAACTGATTTCAATATCATTTTAATGATTTCAATATCAGTTGATGTTATCAAGTTTTGTCCAATATCATTTGAATGATTTCAATATCATTTGAAGTTATCAAGATTTGTATTTTTTATGTAGAGGGAATTATTTGAACAAATCCTGTCATGAACAAATTGAATCGCAATGTTTGTCATTAACTGCAAACTATTAGCTCTTTTTTATATTTTAAAAATTAGTAATCTTATAGGTACAATGAGTTATATAAATTTTAATTTCAGGTAACGCATAATTTGTATTGTACAACATTTATTATTTTGTGTTTTCCTATGCCATTCTTACATAACTGAGATTTTTAAAAATCACTCTTTTTTTTATCCCAAAAATACAAAATTTTATTTGTCTAAATGATTTGCTTACTTTTTATTAATGAAGCAGAACCAATAACTTGACTATTTGATTTTCATTTCTTTAACTTTGATTACATTTAACACTTTGATTACATCTAGATAAAATTGGGAGATGCATTAACTGTGCATTTTCTGCTATTCTGTTCATAAATACAAGCTAAAACAACATGCATATGGTTTTGCTATTGTTTCTTAAATATTATCTGAATTTAAATCTTTTGACATTTAAATTAAATCATTCTCCAGACATTTTAAATATTTTGTCATTTATTTTTTTAAAAATGTTTAGATATTTAAATTTAATATTCTTTTAGAGAACATATAGTTTAACCTGTTATCCAAGGAATAAACTTTTGTTCAACTCGTTTCACAGTGGTGACCTTTTTCTTCATAGTCATAAGTCATATCATCACACCTATAATTTTCATGATAAAAAATTTTGCAATTCCCTTTATAACAATAGTTGGTGCATGACAAAATATTTTGCCATACCCAGTTAACAGGTTAATTAATTTCCAGATCAAGCAATTATGCTTTTATCAATGAGATTACTTGAAAATGTTGATAACAAATAACATATGTTTCATTAATATTATTGCTTTTTAGCTACCATTTACAAAGAAAATTAAACCAACCTAATTACAGTTGTTAACTGCTTTACTAATTTGATGTACAAATTGTTTATTGTAGTATTTGAAACAATTTTTGTGCATTATTGTTTCATTTTAAGAAAAAAATAGGCTTATATAACCAGTATTTATACTTGTTTGATTTAATGTACCATTTAATTTCACTTGGAAAAGTTATAATCATAGTCATATTGGATATTTTCATTACAATGTTCGATTTGCATTCCACATGAAGCCTGTGCATATTATGTAAAGGTTTTAAGCTTTCATCAGATGCTCTGAACTTTTTCTAAAATATTCTTATTATACTCCAGTGTTTGCTAAAATTTATTGTTTTTATTGTTGTTTTAAGAATGACTTGTATAAAAATTGTAGAAAGCTGAAATAAATTAATGTTTTAAAGATGTTTTTTATTTGAATTAGTTATAACTATTAAATTTATTTTTAGATTTTAATTTATTCAAGTAAAAGTTGAACTTGGACTGAAATAAGTTTGTAAGTAGGAATTAAACTATAAGCATATGATTTACATAAATAACACTTACATTGTATTCGTATAATAAAAAGGCTTTGGAAGTTTTAAAAAATAGTGTTATTTTTTAAAAGAAAAATATAATTAACGTTAAAAATTAAAATCTTTTTACTTCTCTAATAAAAAAAATTTAATATAAAGCTAATTACTTATTATTTTTTGTTCTTTAAAAAAAGGGAACTATGTATTAAAGTATAATTTGCAACATTTTAAAATAAAATTTTTAAGGTTATTTTGGTTATCTAAAAATGATTCCAGTTAATAGCTATTTCTACTTACAAAATTTTCAGTCTTAATTTTGGACATGGCCTTAATAAATATAGTGATTATTTTTAAATACAAATGGAGTGTCTACCATCAGGAAAAACATTAACATAGCAATAGAAGTGAGTATTTGTTTTTAGGCATGACTATAACCCTCATACTTTATAGAGTGTAATGTAAATGCAAAACCGCATTTATAAAAATCCTTTAAATTTTTTGAACCAGTATAGCTCTATATTAATTTAAATAATTTTCAGGGGCTTATGTCTGTACTTCTAAGTATATGGATGTTATTTATATACAACCAAAGTTGAATCTTTTTTTTTCTTTCTTTTTACTCCATTTGTTTAAAACACAATTAAATAAATAAAAAAAATAAGTATCTTTCAAAATTTCATTTCTTTATTTTTCTACAATTCAAAATACAAATATAAAATAAATCATAAAAAACAACATATTCATTATCATTAACACATATTTAAGGAACATTTCTTAATTCTCTTATTGCTGAAATTTAAAACAGAAATTTTTTTTTTCTTTATTTTTAAGGGAAAAAATGCATATCAGATTGATATGGGGAAAAAAGGAGTAAACTGTAAATTTTTTTTCAGCAATTTATTATAAAATCATGTTTAACGAAAGAATGGCAAGGGTTATTCGGAAAGTAACGTCCGATTTCTTATAAAACATAAACTATTACAGAATTATTTTTTCGAAAGAAAAAAGTTTTTTTATGTAATTCTTTTATTTGTTTCTCTATTTTTCTACGTAGTGTCCGCATTTGTTTAAGCGTCTGTCATAACATTGCATAAACTTTTGCTCTAGAAGTCTATCGCCAGTGAAGATAAACACTCTTGAACTACTTCTTTCACCTCGTCTGCGGCGTAACGGAAGAAGTGAAAAACACTGGGAACGATGTCTGAATTGTATGGTAGATGGTCGATTTGTTCTTATCTAAAAGATCAGTTTAAGTTTTGGGTATAAATAGCAGAATGGAGTTTGGCATTGTCATGCAGCCACAAAAAAGCCACGTCGCTAATTCTCTGTTGCCAAATCACTGACGATATTTCACAGTCTGTGGACTGATGAGTTGCGGGCAGTGCAAATTGTGTCGTTTCATAAACAAGACATGCTGGGACTGCACAAATGCGCGTTACAGTATTTGCGGATTATTCGATTACCCACGATAATCAGGCTTTAATTTCCAAATAACCCTTTTATTTTATTAGATATTATTTATTGATTTGCCAATTAAAGCAAAACATAAATGGAGCTGAAAAATAAAATCATAAATTAGGATAAAAAAAATTTCCTACAATATAGGATAATTAAATTCTTATTTATTTATTTTTTGACAAAAATTTTATTTTGTATAATCTTTTTCAGGTAATTTATTTATTTGTGTTCTATTATTTTACTAATTAAAGTAACCTTCTTTTTTTGAATGGAAATCTCAGTTAAAAAAAGTGTGACTAATCAAAAAACATTACTGAATGATTTATCAAAAATCCGGCCAATAATAGTTCTCCAGTGGTGATTTTCGACTCTTTCATCATACTAATTTACAGCTGTCTTTTTCTTTCTTTCTTTTTCTTCCAAATGGAAATCTCAGTTTTAAAAAAAAAGTGTGACCAATCTAAAAACAATATTGAATGATGAATAATTAATTAAAAATCCGGCAAAGAATAGTTTTAAAGTAAAGATTTTCGACTCTTTCATCTAACTAATTTACAGCTGTCTTTTTACCAAATAAAAATGGATTATTTATAAGACCACGAAATTCTGCATTACCGTAATGCAAATTTTATTTTATTTGAAAATAAAATCAATACAAAAGAGAAGGTGCAAACAAAATGTTTCCTTAAATGTTACTGATATGTTTCAATATACGTAATATCATAAGAAATATGAATATAAAACTAAAAAAAAAAACACATCCAAAACACACAAGACTAGATATGTCAACACATATATAATAAGCCACTTTGATTATTCAGGGAATGATTTCGCGTAATAATACCATTCCCTTCATTGCACAAAGAATCAGCTGAACTCTCCACAAAAGCTAAGATCACTACCATCAAACTTTTCCGTTGATAAACTTATATATCTGTAATTTTGGGTATACTAGTGCTTCTAACCTTCTTATTAATTAGTGTAAGTTAAGTTATACATATTTCCGCATTGGATGTATGCTAATAGAAGTGCAGCAGCTTAAAAATCAATTAATGCAATTTTTTATATTAATATACAAGGTGCTTTGTGATCACCGCCTTTAAAATATATTTTAATGAACCCTTATCTAAAGTAAGATTGAAACATTGCAAATTATTGTAAGCTGAATAATAACTGCCTAGAAAGATGTAATTAGATAAATTAAAATCCAGTTTGAGTACCGTATTGAATTCGAAGCTATTTCTAATAACGACATTTCAATTTCCTCAGGCGAGCAACTGTGATTCAAAGATCGTCTTCCACGTTCATAATTAGGTTACGATAAATTTTTTTTCCTCATAAATATTTATTTGCGACACTGAATGCGTTTATTTTTTGTTTCATTTTCGGCAAGGATTCTAAAAACATACTTAAAACGTTATATTTTTATAAACTGCACATAGGGAAGGGTTCCTAGTATGCGACATCCCTATAGTAGCCGAATAATGCACAGGGACGTACAGGTTCCGCTACATGTCTGATCATTCAACCAAAATTAATCTAAATTACGTGTGAAGGCGATTGCGAGTATAGGTGGTGCTTGAAAAAATTGCTTTTGTTGAGCATTCATTAAGTTCGTCATTTAAGTATTATTTTGAAGCAAGTAATGTGTTTACAATAAAATACTGTGTTTTTGAGGTTGTTGTGAAGTATTTAGATTAATTTGAGATTTAATTGAAGTTGAGTTCAAAAACAACCTAAAAAAATCAACCTCCAAAGGTTAGTGTGAATAAAATATCTTCATACCAATCAGGGTGTATAGAGTTGTTTTATTCATACTTGAGGTTGTTACTAGGTTGATAGAAATCTACCTTAGAGCAGCCAGCTTAGAGAGGTTATTTTTATACAAGTTATTTTTTCTACACTTCAAACGAATATGTATGTATCGGATGTGAATAATTTCACTCGATTTAAAATAAAAGTATCGCTGAGCTACATGAGGTTGAAAATGAGGGGGTTTGTTGATGAGATTAGTTTTGGTGCAAACCATAACCTCATTTTCGCCCTCAGATGTTTTTTTTTACATTTGCCAACCTCAAAAGTACCCTATTTATTGTAATTTACACCATTTATATGTACATTAGATATAGTAACTGTTAGGCTTTAATTCTTAATTTCAAAAAAAGTGAGTCATGTTAGGAACCTTTTCCCTATAAGTATGTAATTTTTGATTGTGCTCCACTTGAACAAAAGTTGATGAATAAAAGAACGATAAAGCGTAAATCGCCAAGCACGTTCCTACTTCGTTTTATCTTCACCACAGTGATCTTAGCTTGCACAAAGCCTATCGTCTTCTGCTTCTCTTTCAACTTTGTACCCAATCACTCAATGAAGAGCTTTTGAAGTATAAAAAGGGAATAACAAGTATAAAAATGGGGATCACATATGCTATATCTCGTAGAGAAGGTACATTTTTATGAATTTTGGGAGAGGTAAATACTGTATCCTCTTGATAACGACTGGACCAACACCAAAGATGTTTCGGATGAAAAGCCTCAAAATATGCTTCAGTGGTAAAGGTGTGGTGGAGTGACTCAGCAAAGTCTGCCGCTGCTGATCTGTGAGTAAAAGCGACCTAAAAAAGAAAAACATTTCAGTGGCTTAGTCTTTGAACTACAACGAAAACACTTTTTTAACATATAAGTTAAATGGTGCTCAGGGAATGTGATCTAGGTTCGAATTCTGCCGCACCGACTACAGTGCTGGCGTAAAATACCCTCAATTGTAAATGGATCATGGATTAAATTCTCCCTGCCTTCGGGCTAACCGTGGGGGGTTTTCTTCTCCATGTAACACAAATACGGGGTAGTTCCATCAAAAAGTCTTCCACGAAGTTTAGTTTCTCCGAATGCTTATGCTTGATCCACAAGAGTTTTCTTGTCTTCTGACTTTAATTCAAAATTACAAAGCTACGGAGTTGAACATTGCTAGTCGTAAACTCACTAAACTCAGATTTGAGTCGGCTGTTGCACTTGTAAGTGAAAGGCGAAAGGAAAAATATTAAAACCAGTTAGATTGCTTGTTGAAATTAAGATTTATTTTCATTTTTTGCTTTGCATCGTTTAAGCATTAAGTTGTGTCCCCGAGTGTGTATACGCTAGACTTAATTTCTGAAAAGGATTTTTAATATTAAGGGCGATCATTATAGAACACTCTGTATATAATTTTAAGTTATATTTGTTGAAAAATGAATAAGTTATTGTGAATCAATCCAGGTCTCTTTCTCTCTCTCATCTTTATGAGACTTTATTAAACTATCTTTATGAGAGTTTAAATTTATACTAATATTCTCAAATATGCATAAATTGTCAAGTCAACTTTTATTATTATGTACTATATTAGTAAAGCTGACTTCAGACACATCCAAACAAAATTTTATACGTAAGTTAAGTATTATTATTTTGTATTGTATTAGTAAGCTGACTACTTAGACACATCCAATATTATTAAGTATTGTATTAGCGACGCTGATCACTAGACACATCTAAACATGGGTTACGCATAATGTATTTTATTTTATTTTATAACCTTCCTTAAACAGCCAAACTAATTTTTTGAGTTTACGACTACCGATGTTAAACTCCGTAGCCTTGTAATTTTGAACCAATCTAGAAGACAAGGGAAGGAACTCCTGGATCAAGTATTGGCAGGGATTTTTCTTCATGAAGGACTTTATAGTGGAACTAACCCTCATTTGCGTTACATGGAGCGAAAAAACCTCCCACGGTTAGCCTGACGGCAAGGACAGGACCTGATTATCGCCTAGACCCAATGGGCAAGGGCCTAGGGCCCACAATTTCTGAGGGGCCTCGAAAATTAGTAAAAAGTTTAATGAAAAATGGGCTAGCTTTGTGTTGGTTTCAGTATTAAGTAAAAAACACTGTTAGAACAAACAGTATTAAATAAAAATCAGTGACTTGTAGCAAAAACCACTGATTTCAATTGCTTGTGACCACCAAACTATTTTTATTTTGATATAACATTGTTTTGTTGTTTTATATTTTGCTTTAATTTATAGATACGTAAAATTTGTCTTAGAAAAATAATCTTCAATTGTCTGCTTTCAAAATTTCTCGGAATGTCTCTCTTGAATCATGCAGTTCAATAGATTCTTTTTCATTATTAGGACTACTCTTAAGTAATTTAATTTCAAAATATCTTGTAAGGGGCCCGGAAAATTTGGTGGGCCTTGGGCCTGAATTTGTCTTGGGCACGGGGAACCCATTATCCATCTACCACTGAGGATATTTTACGTCATCACTGTGGTCCGTGCGAGCCGGGTGCGAAATTCGTATTGATCATCCATCGCTGGGATTCGAACCCGGTTCACTTCATTGAAAGGCGAATGCTCTATCCTCTGAGCTACCATGACTCTAAGCATTATGTATTCGTAAGGTTGACTGCCAGACACATCCAAACAAAAGTTTATGTGCAAGTTAAGTATTATAATTACGTATTGAATTAGTAAGGCTGACTATCAGATACATCCAAAGAATTATTTATGCTTACGGATGTTTTAAGTCTTGTCTTATCAAATTACGTTTTTTGTTTCTAAATTTACAGTTGTGCAGCCGAAACTAAATCTTTCAAAATTAATAAAATGGTTTCTTACAATTACCTATTTATCGAGGAAGTACTGAAAGCTTCAGCAGCGTCCAGAATAACCTCTAGAACTTCCGGGTGTGTTTCCGGATGTAGTCTATGGACGGATTTCAGAATTCCTAATGGATGATGTATTTGAGATTTTAGTACAACTTTTGCACCATAACAGAGGAGTAACCTTACTACATCTTCTGTAGGGTGATCACATGAGTTAAAATATTCTCCGATGGGTGGTTTTATTAAAGGTCCATCATCGAATACAGACACGGCATTTGGATCTGCTCCACATTCCAATAGCATCTTGATTATGTCTATCTAGAAAAATTTATCTACAATTAATTATCAAAGCAAGTTTCATTTGTAAAAAATATTGCTAAAGTATATATTATTTGCTTGAAGAAAAAAAAGTATAAATTCATATTTCATTCATTAGGAATGTTATTAAAAACATATTTTATTGGGGGGAAATGTAAGCATTTTTTTTTTCAAATTTAACTCCTATATAGGGCTATTTCAAATAATATAAGTTTTTTAACATTGATATATTTTTCTTCATTTTGTAAAATCTGAATATATCTACAAATCTATGTATTGGAACATACTTAGATATAAGCTAAAAAATTCTACTATTGGCGATCAAAATAAGCTGCTGGTGGAGCATAGTAGAATTCATCCGTCCTTATGGCAACACTAGCCATGGTTTCACCATTAGCGTGTGAATAGTCATAGAAGTAGAAAGTATGTCAGTATCTGTCTTAATTTTAAACCGATTAAACTTTATAAAATTTGAAAACTGCATGGAATTTCGATTTCCCGACACATGCGTAAGTATGTTGTATAAATATGTGAAAGTTGTTAAAGATTTCATTAATTCGTATGAAAATTTCAATTTCCCGACATATATTCTAGACTCTTAATTACGCCGTGTAATAGAAGTTTTACAGGTCACTCTAATTTTTTTAAAAAAAGGTTAATGGTGATTATAACTTACTTTATTATCGACTTTCTCAGATAGTGCTATGTGTAGTGGACAACCAATGATGGGAGACCCCAAATTCACGTCTGAACCTGATTCTATGAGCAGTTTAACCATTTCTGGATTGCCTTTTAAAATTGAAAAGTCGAGAGGACTTGGTTTCAAATAATCAGTAGAAAATTTCACCGTAGCCCCATGTTTAAGTAAAAGCTTTACGATGTCCATATTCCCACTTAGAACGGCGTAGTGCAGAACAGTTCGGTGATCGTGCCTTTCTGGCGTCATTTCATTGACATTGGCACCATACTTTATAAGCATCTGAGCAGCTTGTAATCCTTTTGGATGTCTGCACGCTTTCATCAGTGGAGTAATGCCTGTTCGATCCTTTGAGTTAGGATCCGCTCCATATTTCAGCAACAACTCCAAGAACCTAGTGTTCAGTGGGCTAATCAGGTTGATTTCAGCTCCGAGGAAATATCTAGCGTTGGGATTAGCCCCATGATGTAGGAGAAGTTCGGCTATCTCATAATGATTGTTCACAATTGCCAATCGTAGCGGCTCATCAGCGATAGTGGATCGTGGTGGATTGCCCAGAGTTTTCTCATCGCCATCAAACTCCGTAAAGCTGACTCTAGCTTTATGCTCCAGAAGTAAGATGACAAGGTCAATGTATCCACGCTCTGAGCACAAATGCAGAGCTGTGTAGCCGATTTCGTCCATTGCATTGGGATCGCATCCCCTGACGAGTAAAAGATTGAGTGCTTCGAAATATTGCTGGAAGGCTGCGTAATGGATGGGACGCAAACCCTGGGACACTGGTTCGTTGACTTTGGCTCCACAAGCCAGAAGAATTCTGATGTCATCCAAAGGAGCACATCGGATGATGCTGTCTGCCAACTCCCTTTGCAAGGTCTGAAGGCAGGCAATAGAAGGCATGGCTGCACTGAAGGGCCTGGAAATAAAATCTTATTTAGATTTTTTTTTTCTTATTAAGAAAATCTTTTCTAAAAAGAAGTTTTGTAAAATTATACGGATGAATGGCCAATGAAATATTACTTTACCCTTACCCCTTAATGCTCCATTTGCAGTTTGCCCTAAGAGGACGCTATACTACGAGAGAAACTTTTCATCGCATATTCTGTTTCGCTTTCGTTGGTACTTAAAAATTTAGCAAAAAGTGAGCTTAGGTAAATATGAAGTAAACAATAAAGTTATGTATTTGATAGAGAATTTGCCATGAAGGATTTACTCTGCTCTATAGCGTCATCTTAACACATTGTCGGCCAGTGACGAGTTAACTCGTCTTTTCATTCCCAAATATTGACCAATGACAAGTTAACTCGTCATTGCAACTGCACTATTTGTTTCAATTTCTGAAACGCAGGATAATAGCCGGTGATTGCAAAATTACTAGTCAACAAAGTGTTACGAAGTGTCACATATGTAGTTAAATTTTTGGGTAAAAAGAACTGTTGCAATTTACAGAAAAATCCGGGGTGGTTTGATTAATGTTACAGTATATCTTTAAATTTATGATGAGTAGTTTCTTCCTTTCTTTTAATTTAATAATTCAAAATGATTTTTTAAAGATACCAAAAAGAATTCGCTAATTTTTATGTTTTTAACATTTTCCAAATCTTAAAACAAAATTTCACTACTTTCGAGTAAAGTAAAAACATTATTTATATATTTATTTTTATTAAATATTGTTATTATTACAATCATTATTTTTTGTGAGGACTTAGTTATGAGCTAAAAAGTGGCAGACTTTTGTGTTCAATGTTATTTCTTTAAACTCTTAGATTTATCTTCAATTATCACATCCGATTTCTTTTTTCATTTCTAAATTTAATTAAGTTTTATTCCTTTCTAATTTACTAAAATTTTAAATTAAAGACTGAAAAACAAGTCAAATTATACACAACAGAAGCCCATGAGATATTTAGCGCAAACAACTACCAAACGAAATTTTCAATTTCGAAATACTCTGTAAATTAATAGAATAAAATTTAAAAAATAAATAAAGCATCAGGAGTCAAAGACCCTTTATAAGAAAGAACATTACTCCGCAGGTAAGAAAACTGTAACTGCCCTCCTTTTTTATCCAGCAGAAAAAGAAGAAGAAAAAACGTTCTAGACAATCCAGGTAAGATGAGAAAACAAAGGATTTTTCCTTCAGATCGTTGATCTTTACTGTTTTAATCTAACCCCTTATTTCAACAGTACTTGAACCCCTTTGGCTTGACTAAGGAGAAGGGGGAAGAAAAAAAAATCTTGATACGCATCTCGTCTAGCACCAATATATTCAGGTGTGGCAATTGAAAATGATATATATTTAGAACTTTGGTCGTGGCCGCTAAATTTCCGTGAAAAAAGTTTGGCCTCAATCCATTAATTTTCATGAAAAGGGATGAGAAATTACGCAAGTCCTGGCTAAGTCCTCCCTGAGCATTTTTTTTTCTTCTTTTCGCTTCCTGGCGAATGTAGACGTTGTTGGTATATTGTGCTTTCCACGTGTAATCTTTAGTTGGATAACACATACATATTTTCTTATTTATAAATAGTAACCAGGTGTTAACAAAACTAATCCAAAAAACAGGCGTATGTTATTTTTTATGTAATTGAATGTGTAAACAAAAACATCAAAATATGTTTGGCTATAGATTGTTTTGACAGTGATTTTATATAGAATCTGTTGTTATTTACATTTCTTATTTTCTAAAGCAAGTTAAAAGTCTTTCTTTGCTGTAACTAAATTTTTAGTTAAACCATCATCACGTAACACAATATAATTAGCAACATACACGACATTCTAATCAACTAAATTCAGTGTCTATATCAACGGTTCGCAATTTTTTTCGGCTTAACCCTGATTTTATCATGGTAATTGTGAACGTATAAAACCTATGAAAGTCTGTTTTAAAATATTTAATTTCGAGGTATGAAGATTTCTAATTGTTTTATTATTAATAATCTTAAATTATGTTTTATGTCCGATTCTTGAATTTGCAGTCGTGTTATATCTAGCCTGATTATGAATTTGTTTTTGGTGTACATACATTAGCTGAAAATGAATAATATAAAATAAATTATAGTTTATCGAATTGAAAACTTAAATGAAGCCCTATAAACGTTGAAAATGGTTATTAGGGAAACATATCTCTTTATTAAAGATATTAATTATTTTATTTTAATTTGAAAAGCGTATTGGAAAATACCAAATCAATATTTAATAAATACTTGTTCTTTTCATAATTTGTTCTATATATTGTTAGAACCATTATATTTTCTTCTTGAAATTATTTCTTAAAAGCAACAGTAAGATTAAATAAAGTATGAATTATACGTTGGATCTAAATATATTCTAAGGTTTTAAAAAACTCAGCACTGGTTATAAAAAGTGCTAACTCTGGGAACACCTTTAACTTTTGCATGGAGCCTTCGGGTTCCGCGGAACACTATTTGGAGACCGCTGTCTACATCATTAGAATTTGTATTTAATCGCTATTTTTCTTTTTTTAAGTTAATTTTAGATCTTAAATTTATTTACAAAACAAATGCTATTCGAATGCGTAATAAACAAAATCAATTTTTGATACACGTGGCAAAGTTTGCTTGGCATTCCATTTGTTAAATTAATTTTAGATCATAAATATGTATTAAGCTATTAATACAACCTTTTTCTCTTTTTTACACATCTTTTAAGACATTTTAAACACTAATAGTGATAATAATAATAATCTATTTTAAATGAATTATTTCTGTTCTAATAATTTTAACATGTAAAAATAAGATATTTTAAACACATACACAATACTTACATTACGGGGAATTATCGTAAAATAATGATTTAAAACCAGACACATTCGAAAAATTTATTAAAAATTAGTTAGAAGACTTAAAAAAAGCGAATTTTCGTAACAGATTTGTTAAACGTAAGATTATTTTTACAAATGAGATGTAGATGAGATTTTTTTGCATAAAAGATATTTTTTTAGTAAGGAAAAAATATCAGATGTTTGAATTTAATTGAAACGATTATTTCACAAAATACCATTCAAATTTTTTTATTTTGATTATTTTATAAAAATTAATTTGGTTGCTAATACAAGAATAAAATTTCAAACGTAGAAAAGTTTTGTGTATTTGAATAAATTCTTTATTATTCAAACGTAATTTTTGAAATTCTTGAAATATGGATTAACAATATTCGAAGATAGGTAACTTTTCAAATATGTGTAATGTAAATAATATTTGAAAAGTTAACCAAATCAGGCACTCAAAAAAAGTTTTTACTAAAAAAATTAATTGTACATTTGGCAAATAATTTTTTCATTTAGCATTTCAGCCTTGAAAACTCTCATGTTTCATAACTCGCCGGACTCACAATTTGAAATAATGAGAAAAGCACCTTTATGAAAAAATTAATAGCACATTTGTGATCGAATTAACAGAATTCATTAAGATATAAGTGGATTTTAAGTATAACATTCACAAGATTTCAAAATCAAATGGATAAATTAGTGTTATTAAAATGCTTATCGAATGGTTGCTTATCGAAAATAAATGCCATAAATGAAAATTATTGAATTATTAAATTTGAATCCTTTATAGAAAAATCTATGATATAAAAATATATCAATTTAAAGTTACATTTAAATCAATTAAAACTGCTCTTCAAATTCTGAATTTAATAATGATATAAATGCTGGTTCTTAATTATTCTAACTAGAAGAAATTAAAGGGATTGACTTTAGATTTATATTGATAAAAAAAAATAAAATTAATGATTTTATTTTGTCCTTTCAAAATGTTCTCCGCTATGATTTGTTATTTTTTTATTTTAATTTTTAATTTTTCGATATCATGTGTGACGTCTATAATGTAGTTCCTAATGGTTTCACTTTTATCAACAATTCTTAAAAAATCAAATCAAACACATTAAAGGAAGTAATAAAACAACAATTAAATCTCAATGGTAAACTAAGTAGCATTGAGATTTAACACACACACATTGTGTTGTAATAGAAAAATTTTATAAATATTCATTCCCAAAGGAAAAGTTAACATTCTAAGGGAAGAAATGACTACATAAAACATACTACAGCGTTACCATATCTGTTTTTCATACCTAAAAATGTAGAATTAAATTATATGCTGTGAATTACTTCACTATGGTATTCATATTTTCATTGAAATTACTTTGAAAATTTTAATTTCCCATTTAAACAATTTTTTTCCAACCAAACATTTTCGAAATAAGCCAACATTAAATAAATTTAATTGTTTTAAACAACTTTTTGTTTGTTTGTTTTGTTTTACTTTAAGTTCATTTTATTTAGTCTTTTGTGAATATATTGTTCTAAAACAAATTTTCTCGGTTAAATTCATTCTTTGTGAGTTAGTTTTATTTTGTTATTAAAACAATTATTATTTGAATAAATAATATTTTTAATTATTTTAAATTATTTCTCACAAATCATATATATATATATATATATATATATATATATATANAGCTGAAGTTTACCAGTGGAAATCAGGTTATGAGAACTATATTACTACTAGCAACTAATATATATATATATTAGTTGCTAGCAGTAATATAGTTCTCATAACCTGATTTCCACTGGTAAACTTCAGCTTCAATTATAAATGTAAGATTTAAATTAACGGTACTCATTTTTTTAAATTTGAATGAAAATTCCATTCTCTTTGCGCCGATTTGTCTGGAAATCGGTAGACACTCGCTGAAGAAATTTTGGCACAACACCTGCAGTGAGTCATTCAAATCTGGATTCCAAGACAATGCTGGCATATACACATAGACCGCCACATTTTGTTTAGATTTAAAATTTGTGAATGAGGATATATATATAGATATTAACATTTTGATCATGATCTACTTATTTACATAAAGTGCATTTTATACAACTACGTATTTAAAAAATTACTAATCAATTGTTAAAGTGCAGGGTGTTTATAAATTCCCGGACCCATTTTGATGTATAATAACTCATAAAATAATGAAGATATAAACAAACTTATGGCATTTATTGATGGAATAACTCATACATTTTCCCTTTCAGGTTTGTATATCTTTACTTTTGTAAATATCGTCTGCGCGAGTGGTTAATTTAAGATAATTTCATTTTCCAGTCTAAATATCTGTACTTTTCTAAATATCGTCTGCTTATTAATTGCATTTTTCTCTCTTTTGTTTTTGGCAACTATTGCAATGTTATGTTTACTTTTGATGTATTTGTTCTATGTAGTACTTTTCTATGTGATGTTTTATTCGAACAGATATTAAGGAGAATGCATACACCACAAGAGAAAGCACAGAATTTATGGTGGTTCATAGAAACGAAATCGATAGTGCAAGCACAGAGAAATTTCAGAAGAATTTACCAAAAAGATCCTCCATCCACGCGTGGAAGTTCATTGACAAGGGCCATGAAACTTGTTGAGTCTATCTAACCATTTATGTCATTAATTTTAATCCATTTTTATTATTTTTTGTGTTGTTAAACATCAAAATGGGTCCGGGACTTTATAAACACCCTGTATAAAAATGGTAAATGAATCTTATTCTCATCTCTCTTTGGTACTCAGACTAATTGATAATTAATAACTAATTGTTCCAAGTTATTTGTCAAGCTAAGAATTAAGTAATTAATTCTTTTCTCTGATTCTGATGAATTATTACATTCTTCCGATTCTGATTTACTATTGCATTCATATGTTAACCAAACTCACAATTTGTTTACAAGTTTCCAAAAATAACATTTTAAAAATGCATTTTTTTTTAACCAAAATGTGAGTATGTCAATACGTATATTTATGTGCATACTTCAGTATATGTCAAAAAATACATGCAATAAGATATATACTTAGGTGAAATACGACCCCTAAGAGAAAATATATTTTGGTGTTTATTTGTTTGGAAGTTAGATTGTGATATTATAATTTTAAGAATACTAGCTGAATACCCGTCCTTTGAACGGAAAATAAGAAGAAAAAAATATCAATAAATCAGCTTTGAACAACATAAAAAAATTCAGACACAATTAATAAAGCTAAAATAATTTCAAGTATTTATTTACTTATTAATATATGTTGCTCTTCCCAGTGTCTTTACGTTATTATATTAAACAAAACACGTTTTTTGTAGTTTACCTTATGGCGATTTTTTTATGTTTCTTCTAAACGAATTAGCACAATTTTTTCCAAAATTTTCCTTTCAATATATAACTAATTTTTTTAAAATTTTAATTACCGTTAATTTTACATTATTTAGGTTTATAGAAACTTGTTTTAAAAAAAATCACTATAAACAAATTAACGCGTGGTTCCAACTTCAGGAATACTAATTTCGTGGCGTAATCCGCATAGTACCACGTTCACGTTGATCATTGAATTTATTTAACCCAGCAAATAAAAAATAATTAAATATTAAGGAACGTGCAGTAAACTCCCTTTTTTTTTTTGATTAAATAAAACAATAAGCTAGCAAACATTGATGTTATTTTAAAAAAATATTCGAAAAAAAATATAGAATCGTCTGCACTTTAATTTAAAACGATGGCTAACACTTAAACCCTTAACACTTAACAGAAAACACTTAAACCAATTAGAAAATTCCATTTTTCAAGTGGTTCTCCCAAACGATCTAATTGAAAATTTCAAAGAAACTTTAGGATCGAGGGCTATGTAAAATCAGTTCTATTCTATTGCAGCCGCTGTTCAAATATCTGGACGTTAGAGCAAATGGGTTTGGAATTTAAAGAAAGACACATAAAACTCTTCATTTCATTATTATAGATGCCCTTAGAAGTATAGAGAAATGTGGTAGTTCCGACAATTATGTCTAGGCCACTTTATCTGAATATCCTAATATTAAGTGAAAATTGTATCTTAAAAAGAAAAAATAACAGAAATTTATCCAAAAGAATATGTTTAAACAACAATTAACTTTCTTATACTTGGAAGCAAAAATGCTTTGAATTACGTTTATTTTTTTGTGGCCCTTCAAATATCGTTTTTGAGAGAAAAAAATGAAAGAATAAATGAAAACATTAAATTAACTTTTGAAAAATCAGTTTATAATCATTTAAAATTAAGTATACAGCGCTATTAATTTCGGACTTAACAAAATCGAAGATTAGTTTTTGCATTTATGAAAATTATGATTCTGAATTCATTTTATTATATTTGCAATAGAATTATAAAAGATAAATGAGTTAACCCTTTCATAAAACTGTTATTAGTCCGAGAGAATCTTTTGAAATTTAGTTATTGCTGTTACTAAGTTTCAAAAATAAAGCACATTTAATTATTAATTTTCCATTTCCGTATTGGCAACAGCTATAACTTACCTTACCAAAGAAATCTTCAAAATTCTTTCTTATTGCAGTAAATCCTCAACTTTTAAGTCAAATTATCGGAAAATTAACTTAAAAAAGTGTTCGCTTTGAAACAATGGTACAGGATAATACAAAATCTGCTCGCACCACTGGCTACTTTGTCTGGTCTGATATGACGCAGTAAACGTTTTGAATCTTTGTATGCGATTCCGCCGAAAGGTTGCTTGGCTGTAAACAATAGCACGTGATGCTGGTTGCGTTTTTGCAGCTGATTTTAAACACACGTGACGCAGTGTGTAGAGTTTTCATTTGTTCCTTTGCTTTATTTTTTGGCAACATACTCGAGGTCTGTGACGCAAGAATCTTCAAAGATCCCGGAGGAGTTTGACGCTCGTGTAAAAAGGTGCTTCTTGAGAAATCGAATGCGATCGTCGAACATAAGGTCAGTCCCCCTCTAAGGACTCTTCAAAGAAAAGCTTTTCTTGATTGATTAACCTCTAGTGTTCAGAAAAAATTAGACGAAATCGTATCATCTCTTGAAGAAAAGAAAAACATCTCTAACAGTGACATGGTAGATGGTAAAGATAAGGCATTATAATTAAAACTTTCCTTCTTAACAAATTCTTAGAAGAGTAAATCAGAGGTAGTGCTAAGTTTTAAACCGGCTGAAGATATAGTACGACTACACAAAAGGCAGTATATTTTAAAATTATCTCTCCAAAAAATTCTGAGTAGGGCAGAGATAATGCAGGTGTTGTACCTAAGCATTTTTTAGAAGGATGGCCCACCCTGTCTGCCCTTTCACAGAGGAAAATGTTATTCCCTTTTTTATTCAGAAAAAAAAAAGATTTTGTAAGAAAAAAGATAGTTTGAAACTTAAGATTACTTAAAGTACAAAAATATTGATGTTAAATTACAAAACCCAAATATTGACTAATTTGTATGGTTAATTTTTCAAGAAGTCTGTGAATAAAATCGTTTGCAGACTAATAGACAAAAATGTTTGTTTCTTTCACAGACTTAATAAAATAAATAAAAAATTACATAAAATAAACCACTAGCGTGTTTTATTTATATATATGGTGCCACCAAAGCTCGAAAGCCGTTAATATGCACATTATCGATCAATTTTCAAGCTAATCAGCAAATTAACAAGGGTGATCCGTTAAAATGCAGAAAAAAGAATTTTCCGCAATTTACATAGGTAATGTGCATAGTAATGGTCTCCGTATCGTTAAAGTTCAAAAGCTTGTTTCTCCACATTAAATATGTTTACTTACTGATTGTATTGACTCGATTCTTCAGAAACAAGAAAAATAAGTAAATAAATGACATGTTAATTTCCTTATTTTTATCAATATTTTAAACCATTTGATTCTTTGTATTATACTAGGTAATTTAAAAAAAGAAGCATTTTATTTTTTTGGCATTTTAATTGATCATTTTAATTAATCCACACATTAGCTAGATCAGCGGTTCCCAAATTTTTTCGACTATGGAACCTTTGATAAACCTCCTTTCTGCTGAACCCCAACTTTGTAAATAATAAAGTATACAAAAACTATGTAAAATAAAGTATACAAAAACGATGTAAAATAAAGTATACAAAAACAATGTAAAATAGAGTATATAAAAACAATTGGGAGGGTATTACTCATAAAATAATACTTTATTTCGAAAATATTTAATAAGGGAAATGAAATTTTTTCATAGTTTTGTTCATTATTTATCTTAAATTAGGTTTTATGTCCGACAGTTGAATTCGCACTCCTGGAGCTGCATCTAATTTAGTGCAAATACATAAACTGAAAATGAAATAAATGACCAGAATTATGGCTTTCGTTGAAATGAAAGCTAAAAGAACTGTTATAAACGTTAAAAATGGTTACTAGGGAAACATATTTCTTTATTAACGAATTTAGTTATTTTATTTTGAAAGTGCGATGGGAAATACTAATGCAGTTTTTCATAAAAATACAGGTCCCGCAGTGGACTGATCGTTAAGACACGGTTCCCAGCAGATCACCGAAGTCAAGCATCACTGGCTACGGTCAATGTGCGGGTGGGTGACCACTTGGATCAGTCTGCGTAGGGACCGAGGGTGTGCGGTATTGGTCCTCGTTAAACTGTGCTACCGTAAAGTGCTCGACTTCGCGCGCAGGTCGTCGGGCTACCGAAGCGGGGGTGCCATCCCCTCCGCAGAGGATCAAAATTATGATGGCATGTCTTCGGATCATCCTCCGGGATGTTTCCCAGACCGTCGCCAATAGCCCATTGTGCAGCTCTAGTGCGACGTAAATTAACAACAACAACATAAAAATACAGAACTTAATTAATTCAAAATATTGTTATTAAAAAAATTGTAATTTAAAAATCATTGTCATTTTACTTTAATTTCATAAAGAAAACCAAAATATTAAAAAAATAATATATTAATAGTTCGGTCTAATTGGGTACTTGCACTTCAAGAAGAAGAACACCTCCCATACCTACACATGTGACCTATGACGTCAGCGCCAGCTAATCTTTATCAGCAAAATAGCATATTAAGGTTGAGCTACGTTTCTCTACATAAGTTAGAATGTTAATTAACGATAAGTTAATTAACGATAAGTTAATTAAATACAGAACCGTATCGCACGTCGTCGGGCACGGCTTACTCGAAACAGAATAGAAAGAACAGTTGCTAACGTAAGCAAATGTCACGTTTCAACAACCAATCAAAATCGAGATACCCTCACTACATCACTTGCCGGTATCCAAGGGCGCCGGCAGAATAATATAAAACCCTCTAACAAACTACCCCCCCCCCCCAAAAAAAAAAAAATTTTTTTTTTAA